AGGATCGAGAGGTAATTTTTTTTTCTTTTTTTACATTGTCAGCATATCTGAGCGCGTGCGACTACGCGAGAAGCTGCACTGCAAGCCGTTCCGCTGGTACCTTAAGAACGTGTATCCAGAGCTGCAAGTGCCGACGCTTGAGAACTCAGGCGACGGGCATGTCATACGCCAGGGACCGCGCTGTCTAGACACCATGGGACATCTAGTAGACGGCACTCTCGGTAAGTGACGTCAGAGAGTTCAAACGAAAACCAACCTTCTTTTGCTATGGTATAGCTGATTTAAGTAGATAATATTAGATGCAGTTAATACTACCACGATATTAATTATATTTAACAAGCTTGACTTTCTGTACACCTACGGGACTTTGGATAAGAATTTAAATGTAATGTATCACTACAAATTAATATTAGCTTAATATTACTAAATAGTAAAAACATTTAATAATTCTCCAGGCATGTACCCTTGCCATAACACGGGAGGTAATCAGGAGTGGCGATTCGATAACGGCCTGATACGACACCACAGTCTCTGCATCTCACTGTCACCCGAGGACCGAGTGACGGCTGTGCTGGCCGCCTGCGACCCCACTGACGACGCGCAAATGTGGAGGCGGCAAGGAGAGATAATCCGACACGCGAAACTAAACGCATGTCTCGATGCAAGCAGACCCGCGCTTTATTTAGAACAATGCGATCCAGATCAAATCACCCAGCAATTCTCTTTTTAATGTTTTTTTTTTTTTGCTGATGCTTAATAAGACTCTGATTCGAGTTTGCGTTGTAACAGGGTATTTTTTGTTTTAACACCATTACTTTGCAGTTTTTATGAGTGTTAAAGACAACAACTAAACTATGTACTTAAACAGAATGAATATTTTAAAACAATTCTTAGAACTTAGGATGTAAAATACTTTCCAATATATTATTTCATACGATTATTTTCATAATACTTTTAACTACATAATTTAATATTTCTCTAGATAATGCAAGAACACAATTACCGATGACATTAAAATGGGAAACGATGCAATTGGAAGTGGACTTTCCGGATGAGAGTATGCATGGAAAGGGGAAAATATTTTCTCTCTGTGCATCCTCTCCTCCGTCGATTAAATATAGGCAACGCATATGCAATTGCGTATGTCTATGGGCAACGGCCACTTCGCTATTTCAGCGATTTCAGATGGCCGCTCGCTCGTTTGCCACCTTATAAAAAAAACATTAAAATACTTTTTTCCAAGTCAAGTAGCACTAATTAAAAATCCCTCACTGTTTAGTAGAGTTACACAAAAAACCACGAATTCAAATTAAATAATAATGCAAATTGGTTATAAATAGAACATAGAAAATTCGGATAATATTTAGTTATTAATCCATGAATCTCTTCCGTGTATATCTTTATTACGAAATATTGAAAAGACATAAAGTCTTGTGTGTATCTTGTTAACTTCCCATATAATAATTTAATGCTGTTAATATTACAAACTCCAGATTATTTAGTGCCAAAATAATATACACGAAATTCTAACATTCTTCTACACTCATTGTTAAAATGGTGAAACATGTACGGGCAATTACAAGCCTAATTCATACGTTAACTATTGACAGGGAATTATTTTTTTTTTTTCAAATTGCCTGAATTTGATATAAAAACTACGATTTTTATTTGCAAAATACTAAAAAGTTTGAAATAATCTGAATAAAAAGTAACATACCTCAACCAAACAAGTTACATTACTGGTTTTTTTTAATAAAAACACACACACATAACCTCAAATTGGTTAATCTGATTTATATTAACCTTTAGCTTAAAAATGTTTCCTTTGACGTTGACAAATAAAGAATAAACACGAAATCAAATGTAAATGAAATGCTATTCAATATTTATCAAGTATTAGTACTAAAAAATCAAACTCATACATACACAGACATAAGAAATAATTAATGATAATAGAGTAAATTAACAACATTTTAGTGTACATATTGAAAACTATCAATAATTGATGATAAAACAATATAAATAATATAAAGTTACCATAGTATGTAAATATTTTTAGGTTATAAAGTTGTAAGTGCCGGGATTGTGGAATGGAGATTATATTATAGATAAATAAATATAGGAAAAAAAGACATTATTATAAGGAGATTTTTGGTTAAAATTAGCTATTGAGGAACAAAATTATTTATATAAAATTGGAACGTTCACGAAGTGTGTCTACAAATTTGCGTAGTGATAGAATAGATATGTAAACATTATATATTTATGTAAATTAATATGCTTTTATATTTTAACATCATCGTCATCAGCTCATTATAGAGGGGCTCGGAGCCTACCCTAAGTTAAGGGTGATTAGGCCATAGTCAACCACGCTGGCCAAGTGCGGGTTGACTTCACACATATCTTAGAATTTCTTCTCAGATATGTGCAGGTTGTATCACTATGTTTTTCTTCACCGTAAGAACGTCGGTTAAATGTACATATGTAAATCGAAAAACACATTGGTACATGGCGGGATTCGAACCCAGGACCTGCAGATTGCAAGTCAAGTTCTTGACCACTGAGCCACTGACGCTCTTGTATATATGCAATATTAAATTGTAGATATTTTCTAGTGAACACTTTAGTATTTTAAAAAATAACATTCGTCTTCCTTTACGATGTTTTTTTTATTTCTGTCCTTTTTTAACATTGATAGTACAAACAACACATTGCTTTTTTAACGTGTCTGAGATAAAGAATTAAAGTTTATAATTTTATGATTCCTTGAAAACTTATTATTGATACCTTTTTTATCATTATTTTTAATAACAACATAATTTTATGAATGTTTTACTTTGAACAGTTTTGTAATTTCTATTAAGATTATTTAAAAATGTTATGTTGAATTCGGAAGTATTATTATATGTTATGTATAATTTTAGTTTTGTACAAATTTATGTTATCGTTTTTTTTATATATGTAAATGAATGTTTAGATTTATTAATTTTGTTTTACGAAATATGTTTTATTTAGAATAATATTTTATGTTATTATATCTCTCTTTCTTTTCTTTCGAAATTATGTTTTATTGGCGTTATCATTTCAAATATATAAAGTGCAGCTATTAACTATAGTGTGAACATTTATATATATTTATATGTTAAATACTCAAGATATATACTTGGAGTTTATTCTCGTAGATTTTTGTCTTTCAGTTAATTATCATATCATATATAAGTATATAAGGTATATGGATTACATTCCATTAATTCTAGTTTGTATATAATGTGTAGTGTTTACTTTATATAAGCTGTTTTATTACCATTACATTGCCAGGAAAGTATATTAAGGGAATCTGAATCTATCAAAAAAACTGAAAATCTCAAATTCTACTTATGTTTTTATTTGTAAGAAAAATAAAAAAAATGTAATGAGTAAAAATTTAAAAGCACTGAAAGCACAATATTAGAGCTAGATAACACTTTCTTGCTTTAATAAACGTTGGTTTTCATTGCTATAAAACATTGTATACAAAAAAATGTCAGCTCATTCTTTTTTGGAAAACAGAGACAAAATTCATGTCTTTGTAAATTTTGCGCAATGGCAACACTTGGTAAAGATTGGCAACACTAAAACTATGTTAAGTGCTAAGCGTGACTTTACTAGTCAGATTTCTTTGAAAGTTACAAATGTTAAACTTAAGGAGCATATACAGGTCTTTATTGATAACTTATGTCTGGTTTCTGAGATTAAATTCTCTGTATAAAACATATCGTCATCTCTAATTATCTTTGAGAAAACAAAGATAAAAATATATTTTATGCAAAGATTTTAGTTTCAGAAACCAACGATTAATCTAAACAAGACACTAATATTTTAATAATTCTTAAAAACATGTGTAAATTTTTGCTATTTTTTTCTTAAAAACTCTTATTTGTAATTAATTTTACAAATGTTTTTATTTAGGTTAATAAAATTTAACAATCACTTGAACAGGCAAATCTTCATATCATTTTTGTGTTCCTAAGTTTAACAGATGGTGATTTTATTTAGTGAGACATTTTTTGTTTGGCGAATAAAATGAAAACGAATGCATTTTAATGTGAACTTTTATTTTATAAAACTTCTCCTTTGTAAAGAATCTTAAACATAATTCCCAAAACCTATATCAACTAAATTACTTAAAATCACTTTACAACAAACATAAACATACACTGGATTGCTTATAAATATACTAGCTGTCGCCCGCGACACCGTCCCTATGAATTTAAAAAAAAAACTTAATTACTAGCCTATGTGTTCTTCCAGACTATGTTTTATATCTGTGCCATATTTCATTAAAATTTGTTAAGTCGTTCCGAAGATACCTTCAAACAAACATCCATCTACCCATCCATCCATCCATCCAAACATTCGCATTTATAATATTAGTAAGATCACATCACAGACTGTTGTCCTGTCTCTAATTTGTATTATACAATAATAAATATATTTTTAAAAAAGTTATAGATCCTAATTAATTTACATAATCGTATCACATTTTTGAGACAATTCCAGACAAAATAAGGGTAAAAATACAGAATACGAGAATACTATTATAAAATTACTATTATACTTTCCTATAGCTAATTAACTATATCAATTCTTTCTTTACCTTTAAATACATGCATTTTTTACATATTTAAAATTTGACTTTAGAAATTAGATTTTAGACTTAATTTTATGTTTATTTTATTTCAAACAATTTTGAAAAATTCTTAAACGTAATGTTACAAAAATAAAGTAAAGCTCAATCTTAAATAACATATGCAAACATATAAATATATCCAAACAGTCTATATAAAGTTATTAAACATTTTTAAGTCAAAGATCACGTACAAAATAAAAAAAAAATTACATTAATAACCAGTAATACTTCAATAAATAAAGTAATTAAACACATTTATTAAATTTAATTACGTATTACAATAATCACAATATTTTTTTCCCTTTAAATTACATTCAAACTTGCGTATAAAAGTACTACGGGGGGCAAAATCAATTAAACTGACGCGCGACAATCACGTGACTCATCGAAAGTTATTGTCAGTTCTATACAATTTTGAAGTTCGTTATGGATTCGCTTCGAAGCGAATGCACTTTATCTAACACCGCTTATCTGTAAAATCTTTCGAATACCATAATTACGGCGTTAAATTTAGTGAGTTACACTAATTTTTGTCTTAACGAATCGTCCAATGACTTTTATAGCTCGGAACGCGTAATTCGGCGACAGTCGTTGCCTCAACAGATAATATCCCACCGCTTGCATCGCAACTAGCATTAACAACAGCATGCCGATGTCCATCCAGAAAGAAACACCAGTCATACCCATCAGTTTCACGAAGTAACTGTAAAGAAAAAAAACTTATTATAACACTTTTCAAGTATCTTGGCGAGCTAAGGTCATCTGCTGAGCAGTACCTTTCCCCCACACCCCGCTGCAACACCTAACATTTAAGTATGAGCATCAACTCACAAGAAGTTACGAGCCACTATATTATATTTTCTATTAAAGTGAACTCGCCAGTCGAGTCGGTGGCATTGCTAATGTTAAAAGGTTAATCTGGAATATATAATCTAGTGTTCTCAACGCATCTTAAATCTATACTCTATACATATTTATACCACCGAAACGAAGTCGCGGGCGACCGCTAGTTATGAAATAAAAGCAGTTTTAACCCACTATCGGATTTCATTTACACTATCAGTGTACTACATATAACTCAAATTCCATTCCCACTAGCATCTGGGTGTAGAAACTTTGGATAATATTAGTTAGAAAATTCAATAACCCATTTTTGCTAAGCTTATCTTTTACTAGAATAAGATCTTACTTTGGATTCTTATATTCGCAATAAACGACATGGTCAGGACAAATAAGGTCATCCCTCGGAGGTCCGTATATAGCTACAATGAGGCCCTCAAGGCCGTAGCGCATGAAGGAGCAGGCCCTGGCCATCTTCCACAGGAGCGGCAGCGGATGGTCTCCACTCCCGATGCCGTACACTGCTAGCAACATTAGCGGAACACTGAGTACTGGTCCCATGAACACTGAATTCTGGAATGTAAAAAAAAAATGTTAAATATTTTTTTAGTCGTTCTACTCTACTAAAAAGTTACTATACGATTGTATGTTTTTTGGCCATGTAGGAGCGTAGAAAGATGCCACAATGCCTAACTAAAGCACAGATAATACTACTAGACCTACTAGACCTACTAGACCTACTAGACTAGATAATATCGAATTATAATAATTGTAGGTAGTAAGGTATCATCGTTCGCATATAGGTATCAGTACCTCTCGGGTAAATTTATCTTAGTAACATTAAGTAAATGCAAATGTTTAGATGGTTGGATGGATGGCTAGATGGATGGGTGTTAGTTAGAAGGTATCTCCAAAACGGGTAGTTGGTTCTCACTGAAATTTGGCATAGATGTAGAACATAGTCTGGAAGAAAATAGGCTACTTATTAAGTTTGTTTTTAATTTCACGCAGACGGAGTCGTGGGCGGCAGCTAGTACTAACTAATTATCAATTTAAATTAAAACAAATGACTTACAACAACACTCAAACTGGACGATATAACAGTACCCATGCTCTCGGATATCAAAGCGACGAGAATGCAGACTGTTATGAACATCACAATCCTGGTGGCCTCCATAGGCTGTGACGTCAGCGGGTACACGATAGCCAGGTAGATGAGAGAGAAGAAGATAGTCGCGGGAGTGCGGGACACGATCAGTGCCGCGTAGTACGGCTTCAGTCCGTACCATCTATTGAAGTACTCCCGCTTTATCAGCTGCACCTCCTTTGGAACTGGGAATAGGAAACTAGTTATAATATAAAAACCTTATCATATATCTATCCCTTTCCCGCTTCATATTTAAGCACAGTATAGTATCGTTGTGTATCCCGTTCTAACAAAATTCATTTCATCAGTCATGAATTTCTTAATAATTAAATTTTGACTAAAACAGGAGACTATTGGTTAATTTTTCAATCAATTGGGTGATCAGTTTGAATTGTGCTAAAGATATCCAATCATAACTGGTTAAGCTTTAAGACTTATGTATTTGAAAATATAATAAGATGGTAAGAAGAACAATAAACTAATAAATAAATAAAAAATAAAATGAAACATAACCTCATTCGGATTGGTTACTTAAATCTGACTAATAGGTTGGTATAAAAGATAGAGTTTGTACAGCTAAGATGTAAGATTAACATAGTTCTACTCACAAGCTAACAAAATTGGCATCATCGGTACATATAACATTGCGATGATGCAAGCGTAGCAGAAGCCGAAGTTAAATATAGTCTTGGAGGCATCATAGCCGATCTGACAGAACAGCATTCCAATAATAAAGCCGAGGAACAGATGCATTCCGACACGGAGCCATAAGTAATCCTGGAAAAAGAAGACAAAATAATACAATGTACTTATAACTAAAAATATAACAAACTCTCTTAAGATAAAAATATTATGATTCATCAGCTCTTTCAAAAAAATTAAAAATCACAAATTCTCTATAGCATGTAAAACATTGAAGTTACAGAATTAAATAGTAGTTTCTTTTGACTTTCTTCATTCTATTATATTTGTGCTGTCTTGAATTTTATTTAGTTTTAAGCAATTATTTCCTCAAAAATCTATTAAATGGAGGATACAAAATCCTAAATTTAAACACTTACTCTATTCCTAACAGACTGTAGCAGCATCCTCCTCAATAGAACAACAAACTGTGTGGACGGCGTACTCTCGTAACTGTACGTATGATCCTGCACTCCACCCGCATTTAGCTGTTCGAGTTCCATCTCCTCGTACTGGTCTTCCATCTGGTGCTCCCTCCAGCGCTGGCATTTGCCATTGTCTACTGCAGACACCATTCTCTCCACGTGAGAACCGTACTCTCCACTCGACACTTCGATTACTGTAATTGAAACAAATAGGTTTTACTTAAACTCAAAATTAAAAATGTTTTATAATCTGTAGTAATGCTGGCAATCTTTATGGCTATCCTTAAGGGAAAGTCTGTTCATCAGTGAACATCCATTGACTGACAATAATTTGTTAACTTACTCAGCAAAGATTGCACATTTTATGTCACTACTTGCTTTTGCCCATTACTCGTACAAAAAACGTAGTAAGCCTATGTGATCTTCCAGACTGTGTTCCACATCTGTACCAAATTCGAGACCTGTTGAACTATTCTAAAGATTCCTTCTAAAAACGTCCCTCCAAACATCTAAAGTTCCGCTTAAATTACTCGTTTTAGTAAGATTATAACTTACCAAAATCCGCAGGATTGTAAGTCTTTGGGCAAGGCAGCTGTAGCTCCTTAAGAAAGGGAACAACGCCTGCTGCCGTGCCCTGGTAGGCGCAGCGGCCATCCGCAACCACATACACGTGGTCAAACACGGAGAACAGACGCGCTGACGGCGTGTGCAATGAACACACGACTGTCCGACCGCCCCGCGCTACCCGCTTTAGAAGAGACACGCAGGTTGATGATGCAACATCGTCTAAACCACTGAAAAGCAAAGGAAAACGTGGATAAGTATTCAAATTAAACAAGCATTTGGATGAAAAAAAAAAACAAATACGAGCATCATCTCAATGCCTTTCCTTAAGATGTTGAGTGATAAAACCTACAAATCCTGTCCAGTCGAAGCCTCATTAGACAAAGTTTGCTAAAAGAGTAAAAATTGCGTTTACTTTAAAAATAACAATAGTTTAAGGTATGTATGTATTTAAATACACATATCTGAGAAGAACTTCAAAGATATGTGTGAAGTCAACCAACCAGCACTTGGCCAGCGTGGTTGACTATGGCCTAATCACCTTTAACTTAGGGTAGGCTCCGAGCCCCTCGGTGGGGACGTATAGTGAGCTGATGATGTATTTAAAATCTAACAAAAAACAATCGTTCACTAACATCATAAAAATGATTTGTTACAAAAGCAATGTCATTTTTCCGTAGTCACAAATCACATAAGTTGTTTACGTAGTTTGTATATGTGATTATGTTCTTCAAAATATGTAAAAGATTTTATATCTTCTTTTTTCTTTCGGTTTAAACCAAACTAAACCATATCGTCATTTCTGTCATTATCTTTGAAGAAAACAGTGGAAATAATATATTTTAAACGGAGATTTTAGTCTCAGAAACTCACTAGTCTGGTTCTAATTCAATCTCTAATACTAAAGTCCTAACATACTAAGTTTTATTAATTATGAATACCATTTGAAACGTAGATTTCTAAAGATTCACAAATAATAATCATATCTTTTTTACTATTATATTTTTTTTATAATAGAAGTTTTCCTCGTGTTTTTGCACGTCCAAAATAATACGTAGTTATTCTCGCGAATTTAAGAACAAAAATGACCTTAGATTTATTTTACTATGTCACGGTGAACAACTGAAACCTACATTCTAATTGGCAAACAAAACCACGCGATGACAAGAACAAAAACATATTTTCAAAGTAATTTAATTGTATTTAAAAACTGTGAATCTAACCTATTAAGGCTGTAAGAGTTCTGAAAAACTCATGATTTTAAAAATCAATAAATATACTTCTATGACAATTCGCTGTAGAATAAGAGAAAAATTCCGTTCATGATCTCTATACATGGAGAGGCTAAAGACCTTTGTTATTCGTGCGTATATGACGCTGATATTTGCTTTTGCTAGCAATTGTGAGAATTCTAAGAAATCATAGACATAGAATTAACTGTCAGTAACATCAACAGGCGTATTTAACTCGGAACTAAACAAATATTGTCATTTCCGAGCAATGAACTCCCCATTTATAGGGATTATTTTTCTTATAACAGAAGGGGGCAAACGAGCAGCGGGAACACCGAGGTGTTCAACGACGCCCATGGACATTAGCAATACCAGAGGAACCGCTGATGCATTGCCGGCCTTTGAGATAGTAATAAGCTCGCTTCTTGAAGGATTAGTGATCCGGTAACATTGAAATTGAGAAATCCAAATACATAAACACTTTTTCCCACCCGAATGTCGGATATAAGCTTTGCCCCCTACTTTTAGAGCTAATTACCGAATATTTCTACTTATCATCAGCTCACTATAAGTCCGGAGGCTACCCTAAGTCATTACTAAATATGGCGTTGTCGGGGTGACTAGGCCATAGTTAATGATGGCTCAGTGTCAATCTTTGAATTTCTTACCAGTTTCTTTCAACATATATGTCTGCTTAATTGTGATCCAAAGCCTTGCTATTCCTTCTATATGTTACTAGCTGTCGCCCGCGACTCTGTCCGCGCGAGATTAAAATTAGATGTTGGTGGATTCTCAGACCTACTCAATATGCTCACAAAATTTCATGAGAATCGGTCAAGCCGTTTCGGAGGAGTATGGGAACGAAAATTGTGACACGAGAATTTTATATATAAGATAAGGAAGTGTTTAAAGGTTAACTATACTAACTAAATACGAACTTTAATATCCGATTTGATTTCGCAACTGGATAAATGTTATTTAGTAATTTAGTTACTGTGTATTTTTAATGGGCAATGTTTATTTAACAATTACCTCTGTAGGATTGTTACTTTAAGCGCATGTAGTGGGTCAAGTACACATATCGTTTATTCTTAACACTGATTCAGACGCTTAACATATCATGACAGTGAATTATGGACATGCAATTTTTTTACGAGCCATTTCAATTTTAATTTAATTTGTACTAGTGATACTTACGATTACAGTTTTTTTGTAGAAATATTTCTAAAGTTCGTTCTATAACGAATTTTTAAAAGTGGCAGACGCCAGCATCAAAATCATCCGTTGTACGAATTAGCCGGCTAATCCGGTGCAATACCACGACTGAGGGGAGAAGTGCAGTGGAAGCAATTCCGTGTTCTTTGCGGATGTCTATTGGCATGTCGCTTCGCTATTTAGGCAAATTTACGAGGCCGCATGCGCGTTTGCCACTACTTTGAAATGCCACTAGGTTTACGGGACCCGTCAATTTGACGGATTTCAAACTTTGAAATGAAACACGCAAAAAACCATAGCATTAATCTTAACTATTTTGCATCGTAAATTTATAATTTCATTTAAAGAGTTTATACGCACAATTATTATTTTCCTAAGCTTTATAAATTTTGAAAATTGTACCTTGTATACCTATTTCAACGGAACCCGTCAATTTGACGGGTTAGCTGATTGCGTCAACAATCCTTATATATTTGCTTCGCTTGTAAAATTATACCTCCAATAGCAAATATAAGACTGAAATAAAGGTCTAAGACCCCCCCACTCATAATCTCAATAGCGCCTCGATAACGAATTGTGTAGCCCGGGTGTCAAATCCTCGCGTTATTCGAAACTCAAAGCGTGCAGCAGACTAAATGTCGTATCGAAAAGATATTCAGTGGTGCAAACATAAACAACACACACAAAGAACTTTCACAGCCTGCGGTAGCCGACGTTAGGCTGCGATATGAATCTGCGATAATCCCTGCTGTCTTCAGTATAGTCGCTGCAGTGACCGTGGTAAGAACATTTTTTGAAGACAGTGTGCAAAAGTTTTGGTTATTGTAGTCACCCGCTTATTGTAAGTTTTTATAATAGGGTAATTGAATTTTGCACGGTATTTTGCCAAGTAAAAGTTTGTCAAGTTTTTTGTAAAAGATGCCAAGTGGGCTACTGTAATAAAAATAGAAGCAGTAATTGCTGTATGTATTGTAAAAATATCGTATGCGGGAAATGCACAAAAGAAATTCAATACGTATGTAAAAAATGTCCTCGATAAATATGATTATGTAGCCTTTATATTATTGTTATCATTTTCATAATAACTTAACAAAAAATTTGACTTATTAGTATTTTATTTTTACGTGAAGCCTTATATTGTTAAACTCAGATTTAGTTTGAATAAATTGATTTTTTAAAAATAAATACGTATTTTCATCCACCCGTCAATTTGACGGATGCTCGTAGAGATAGGTATATAAGAAACGCCCGTAAACCTAGTGTTAAAAAAATTGGTACTGTTAGGAAGTAAATCCGAAAATGTCCCAGTGTATTAACGCAACACTAGACTTACTAAAAGGTCGATATTTATGACCCCTCACTATTCATTCTGACACTGGATTTTGTAACGAAAGCTCGTCATTCGCGCCAAATGATTCTAACTAATACTGTCTAAAAGTACCAACTGTGATTGTCGTTTGTTTTAATCAAAGATTTCTCTAGTGTTGATGTGCTTCATTGTTTCCTACTCTTATAAAAAAGGACTTACGTAGTCGGTTCATCTAGGAAGATAACAGGGGGGTTGTTCAACAGTTCCAAAGCTATTGATAGTCGCTTCCTCTCGCCTCCAGAAAGACGCTCGCTCGACGTATCCTTTGCTTTATCCAGTCTCAATAGATGTAAAATCTCTTCTACCTAAAATAAATAGACGTATTACAATTGTGTACAAACAAATGACGACTGAAATAATGTTTTAAAACTATTTAAATGAACGAAGTACAATAATATTTATGAATTAATTCCACTAGGATCTTATAACCAGACTTATAGAAAGAAATAGGAACGAGGAAATACCAAGAAGAATGTATTAAGACAGCTATGAAGAAAGCTCCAACGACAAGAGCTATATTTTTTTTTATAAAATAAGGGCAAAAGATCGAAGGGAACACGTCACGTTATCTTTTTTTTTTTTTATAACAGAAGGGGGCAAACGAGCAGCGGGAACACCGAGGTGTTCAACGACGCCCATGGACATCAGCAATACCAGAGGAACCGCAGATGCGTTGCCGGCCTTTGAGGTGGTGATAAGCTCGCTTCTTGAAGGACCCTAAGTCGTAGCGGTTTGAAAATACCGCCGAGGACAAGTAATGATTATGATGAAAATAATTTGTTAGACGGAAAATGGTGAAACAATTACTTCACACATCGAAGTCTGAATGCAAGACGCATGTCATTTAAAATTAAACATTCGCTCGCACACAAAGCTCTCTCTTTCCTTACTTAAGTTTAATACGTCTATTTATATTCGGTCGCATGATTGTGCTACATACAGATTTACCTGTGCATTGTGCATTTTAAGACTAAACGACGGTTCTGATTACGTACAGAATAACTAACACAAATGAAAAAAGGAAACAGCGTAATAGCGGATGCCGTTGTGTAGATACATAATTTGATGTTTCTCTTTTAGACTTAATATCGATGTTATAATTAATCTATCATTTGTTCTTAATATATATAAATACGTTGCTATAATCTTACTTATTACTAATATTATAAATGCGAATGTGTGGTCAGAACGGCTGAGAGCATCTCGATGAAATTCGGTATACATATAGAACATAGTATGGAAGAACACATAGGTACTAATTATGTTTTTTTAATTCCGCCCGGACGGAGCCGCAGGCGATAGCTGGTATTAATAAATTGGTCGGATAGTTAAAATTACTATTGTTATAAAGCTATTAATCATTGTGAATTTTGAATATAATAATAGGAATTACTAATGTTAAATACCAGTCCGAGGTTGTTCCTCATAAGAAACCATGAAGAAGACGTCTCAAGGTAAGAAATATTTTGCCAAATTGTCAGACTTTTAAATTACATTTTAATAGATAATATATTCTCGTGTCTATTTATGGCGTAGTAGGCGGGTCGACGGTATGTTTTCGTACTAGTGTTTATACAGTGTAAACTCAAAATAATATCGTTATTTTTATTTTAAGAGCCTTAGGGTCAATTCAGATAGACAGAGGTGGAGACCAGAGAAGATTTTTATCGCAACATTCAGCTAAATGCGATTGACACTTGGTTTAATTTTACTTTTCACTTCGTTTTTAAGCTTGACCTTGAAAAAAAAGTCGCTACGATTTATCTGAATGGACCCTTAATTTTTAATTTGTAATTGAAGTAAAATTCTATAACGCATGCAAATGCATTCGTTTAAAGCTTCAAGTCTACACTTACAATGACAGCCTTCCGGTGCGCGGTCACGTCGCTGCCGAGCTTGAGGTCTGCGGCCATGGCCATCGCCTCGCGTACCGTGATGAGCGGCTGCAGCAAATCCTCCTGCATGATGTAACGTGACAGTTTGCGGAACTGCCGCAGGTCTCGCTGCTCGCCATTCGTTGATATTATGCCACTTGCGCCATTCACCCTATAGTGACGTCACCAATATTATAAATGCAATGTTATCAAAATGGCTGATCGGATTTAACGTAAGGTCAAACGAAGATCTCTCTCGAAGTTTGGTTTAACGAACTGTATGAATTAATGTAAAGAGTAATGTTTATATGCTGCATTCCTAACATTGTATTAGCATCTTCTATGCAAGCGTTATGACATATCCACGGTGTGTAATTTTGCAAGCGATGTTCGTATCCGTCTCCAATTCAAGCACCGTGTCAACTCACACTTACTACTATTCTCAAAGTTGTTTAATGAGAATCTAAAGTAGCACATAAGGGACTGCTTAATGGACTATTAAGAGCCTAAGTCTTAAAAGATTTTTCCATAAGTTTTGTCATACAAAAACCTTGCTATGACGTCATCGAACGCATTTAATAACATTACCTATAAATACATAACCAATGGATACTAGGAAGTCATAAACTTAATGATGGGATCATTGCATCATGTTATGAATTACTATTATTGCTTACATAAACTTTATCTTACAATAATCTGTTTATTACTAAAGAACTAAAGGACAGCTACATTTTAAATTGTGACAATTTGCTTAAACTCTGTAAAAGATCTTGTTTATAAAAAACTTCATAGATAGTACTTTAAGGTACGACTCCATTGGTCTTGCCGGACGCATTACGCGCACGGATTTAACAGATCTGCTTTGTCTAGATGCGGTCGGTGCGGATAATGAACGCAGCGATATGTAAAATCATATAAAGCAAACTAGAATCCGGTTGCGCGTTGTGCCAATGAACGCTCACCTTTATACGAACCAAAAGCGCGGTCGCCTACCATAAAGAGATCTGTTTTATATCACAAGTCGTACAATTTGGATAAAAGGTTGACGTCATTATAAAGTTAAAGCAACTTTACTAATAGTCTTAATTTACCTGTAACCAGCCAGTACGTTGAGAAGCGTGCTCTTGCCAGCACCCGAAGGACCCAAGATGGCGGTCAACTGCCCCGATCTGAACTCTCCGTTGATACCTCGAAGTATTAACTTTGCAACTAAAACAAAAACTAAAATTAAATATACTTAAAACATTAAAAATTCTACGCCCTTAAAATGTACACTAAATGCTGTCTATTATGGGGTAAAATTAATGTGGCTTTTTATGACACTCGACTTGTGAAGCAATCAATCATAGTTTGTTGTACACTATATAGGTGCTTCGATTGATTATTGATTTAAATAATTAAAGCCCTCATAGGTAAATCATAGAAGAATTATTCAAGCATCGAAAATTAAATAAAATATTTTTTTAAATCACAAATTGCTAGCGTACCACACGTTCGTTGTCTTTTAACTTACTATGATTTAATTGTAATTCCAAGCATGTTACATTTTGTTATAATATTTTCTAGTGTTCACATAAGCGCTGTCTTCAAGTCTATCACATAACTTTAATTGTAATTAGGTGTTTGATAAAAGCCACGTTCAGCATCTCCTTCTCACGATTCAATAAGTTTTTCTATTATATATGTATTATGAAGGGTTTTTTTTTTTAATTTTACAAATGCTCCTTAATATGAAACATTTTTAGCTAGCTTTAGTTTTTATCTATGTATATTTTAAGCGAAAGTTCGGTATTTGTACTTGAACGTATTTCTATTTACGATATGAAACAAATCAATCTCCTTTAAATCGTATTACAAATTTCATAAGGTTCAAAATTGTGTTGACTATGAGAAAATGCGGCTGTGTTAGTTGTCAAACGCAATTGAATAGCGACAGGTCATTGACCTAACCTTCGTGAATGCAATTGAACTATACTAACACTTAATGAAACTACCACAAACATAATTTGAGTTTACCGTTAGTATGCTTCTTATAGTTATAATTTTATGTTTGAATAAATGTTGAAATAGACAAAGAGATTATATTTCACAGACCAGCTATCTCATAGATTATTTTAAAGAGACTGGACGAAAACATCGAAAGCATTTGATGAACTTTCAAACGTTTGCAATTTACTTTAGAAGTCGACTGAAGTGACATTTTTATTAATACACTAGCGGTCACTTGAGTGAAAATTAAAAAAAAAGTCCAGTTATAAGTTACGCAAGTACATCATATTTGTAAATTATATATTTTCGATTTCTACACTACAATTTTAATATAATGTAAAGACTAGGTGTCACCTGCAACTGCATCCGCGCGGAATTTAAAAAAAAACTAATTAGTAGCCTATGTGTTCTTTCATACTATGTTTTACATCTGTATCAATTTTCACCGAGATACATTGAGCCGCTATGGATACCTTCAAACAAACATCCATCTAAACATTCACATTTATAATATTAGTAAGATGTATTATTAGTATGGATACAATTGTTTTAAATTTTAATTTAAAACATTCGAATTCGGATCAAAATCTCATGTAGATGTCGTAAACGAAGCTGACATTAGTGCGCAATGGTATACATATCTCGGAGGCAGGCGTGCTGCAGCGCTCACGTGGCTCGCGACGGCCTATTTAAGACACACTAAGTCACGTGCGGGCCCTAGTGATGGGGCACACATATCGATAATTAGTTTTTTTATACAGAAGGGGGCAAACGAGCAGTGGGAACACCGAGGTGTTCAACGATGCCCATGGACATCAGCAATACTAGAGAAACCGCAGATGCGTTACAATAAAACTAAAAAAAATATTACTAGAATCCCTGTTAATTGACTGCAACAATGATTAACTAATAACTTAATCAGTAAGGATTCGCTTACAGATCGTGGGGTCGTGGGTTTGAATCCGCCATTTAACTATTGAGATGAACCATGTGCACAAGCTTTTAAGGTTATTTGAAATGACTTAATAACAGTAAACTATTTCAATAATCTACTAATTTTATTGTCTCATTTCGCAGACTTCCGTATCTTAAATTTGAGGCCAACGTTAACTTTACTGTGATAAAAATCAACATATTCATAAATAATTAATGAAAACGTATCTGCAGCTTATTGTGGATGTCGACTGTAACATTTGTATGGACACCTCACGAATAATATAGTGACAAAATATGTATTTTTTTTTTAATTTTCGTTTTTAATTTTATTTTATTTTATTAAAAATATCGTACAGCGAATGATTTAATGAACATCACTACGAACATGTCACGTGGGAGGCTTTCTAAATACTTAGCCAATTTTCTCAGTGCAGTTGCACACTGCTAGGGTTACCATAAATTTTAGTTTACACAACCTTTACGTATTAAAGATAAATAAATTTATTCCGACATTGACAATACTGACAAAAATGTTTAGAATTATTTTATTGTAAGGTCGATGTTAAAATGTATTTTTTAAATGTGAATTTCCTTGCATTGTATTCAATCTAGTTTTAGTTTTATTGTTAAGTTAAACGTATAATGTAATTCACACAATCATTTAAGTATATTTTGTAGGATTTTATAGGGATTACTTCGGCTTCGTCTATACCAGTGGTTCCCAAACTTATTTTGTCTACTCCCCACTTTGAGAACCACTATAACTTCAAATTAAATAAATTAATTATTGTGACCTATATATGTATATTAACGGGGAATTCTAAACGAAACTTTTACTGTAACCCGCAACTTGGGACCTGCAGCGTCCACAAAGGGGCGTTATCGCCCACTTTGGGAAAGACTGGTCTATACTCTTTTTTGCAGTCGGAATCAAAGACCTTTAATGGTCGTTTATTTTAAATTTATCTCACTAAAAATACACTAAGTGATCAAATAATTCTGAGTACCGCAGTTAAAATATTTACACGTAAATAAACTACATACTAAATAAATTGATAGTCACAGTACACAGAACCAGTTTTATGGTGAGACCTTGTGCTCATTGCACTATTTATCTTCGCAGACATTCTAAGTTAGAATATTGCTTTAGGCCAAAAAATGCTTCAAATAATTAGTTATTAAATTCCATACCTACTTGAGTAAAAGCCTATTTTTAAGCCTTTTTTTTCCTAATAGACAGAATTTTTTTTAACTTTTCGATGATTTGGATAATTCTTTCTGAAAATGAAATGTAGAACTTGCTACCGTGATACTTTAATTGACACATGTTGTCGTCTCTATTTTTTCAAAGAGCATGAAAGGGATGGCAATATGATTTTTAAGATGCTTCGACAATTCGAACACAGATATAAAATATAATAATTTTATATGATTACAGGAAAATAAATCTTGATTTATGATTACATAGCAATTAAAATGTAATACATTTTAATTGCATATACAATGTGATACATTTTCTATATGACATAGAATTTCGTTGAAAGATAATTATTATAATTGACCCAGTCAATAGGACCTAATTACCTGAAGTTAATGGTTGATATAAATGTATGAATGTGTATGTATACTCGGTCAATTAAACTCTTGTAGACTTAATCCCCAGACCAAAATGTGTCGTACGAAATTACTAGCCGCTATAAAGTCACTCCTAACTTAGGTTAGGCTCTAAGACACTCATTGGGAACGTAAGTTAAGCTGATGATGATAAAGTTTGGTACTTATTACCGTTGCATTGTAATTTTTCTTACCTTTGCCGTTTTTAACAGTGTAGGTGAGATCTTGAAAGCTGAGATTGACGGGTGGTCGCTGTGGCAGATGGGACAAGTGCGCTCGGCCCAGCGGCTCGGGCGCACTCCCACTCGTTGCCGCTTCCATTGGTTTTTACTCTTTGGCTTTCACTTCGACATTATTGAGTTACACAGGAATTCATTCAAGTACTAAATAAGTTTGAGTCGTTTTCAGTACCTGTAACAAATAAAATGTCGACAATAAGTTTTTTTATACGTTTTACTAATTTTAATACGTTTTTGTTCACATTTTTATATTTACGCACACAATAACATAACTTGGTTTAAGTTATAAGGTTCCCGCTTTCTACTACTGTTGTAAATTTGTGATGTAGTTTGTTCATGGTTAAATTAAATTTTAATTATTTCTTATCTAGCCATAAAATTCTTAGCCGTAAAAATGTGCATTAATAACACAAACGTTCATACTCTAGTAAAACGCAAAAAAAACAGTTACGTAAACTTTTAGTTTTTACAATCCTTTTTAATCATTTTAACGAATCAAAAAGTGGGACCACACTTTTCACCGTACTAAAGACAGGACTTATTTTCCTGTCAGTAACAAAAACGCATCTATGCAAACTAAAAGGTCAATAACACCAAAGTTCAAGTTTATTGGTACAAATACTTTTATTTCAAAATATTTACTTAATTAATGAAACATGTCGCCTATTTCCGTCTTAAAATTCTACTCGACCTATATTTTTATAATCCGGAAGCGTTAACTTAATCTACATATATAAATATCAATTGCTGTAAGTTAGCGTCGCTAAAAGTGGAGAACGGCTGAACAGATTTATGTTACCTTGGTCTTGAAATGTTTTTGGAGGTCTAGGGAAGGTTTAAAACGTGAGAAAAATTCTAATAGTTGCCGGGAAAACCCTTTAGGAACATGTTATAATCCCGCGCAGACGGAGTCGCGGACGACAGCTAGTGAAAAAAACAATACAAAGCAAAGAATATTACCTTCATTTGTCCTATAATTGTTTAATAATTAACAAACTACTACATTCCATAAACTTAATTAACGATTAATTATGAAGATTTCTATCATCTTATCTCAGTGAAAAACAAATCAGTGCTTGCAACATAAAATTGCCAACCGCTGCCAAATGCAATCGGAAACTATTAAACTAAAAAATATAGCAATATATTTTGATTTATAAACAACGGTCATAGCCCATTACCCGAGTGATTAACAAACGTAGTATATAATCCGAAAATATATATATATTAATGAGTCAAAGGAAAACTTTGCATTGTTGTTTAAGGAATTTTCCCAAACGAATGAACTTGGTAAAGAAGTTTATAGAGTTACTAGTTGTCGCATGCGATTCCGTCCGGCCAGATTATAAAAAACTTAATAAGTCTATGTATTCTTCCATACTATGTTCTACAACTGTGCTAATTTTCTTTAGGATCTGTTAGACCATTGTGGACATACCATCTAACAAACATCCATCCATCCATCCAAGCATTTACATTTATAATATTAGTAACATAATAAGATGGTTAAATTTCGCCAATAGGTGACCATTAGTTAGATAAAATAGTTAAAATAAAGCTAGATTACCTTATACTTATGCTTCGTAAAACAATGATATTATGTATATATACTCGTATTTAAATAATTCCTATGAATTTGTTTATACGTATAGAGATTGGTTAACAGAGTCAATATTCTAAAGTATTATACTCGGCTCACAACCACAGCATTTACGAGCTATGCTTATTGCAAACAGTTAGGAAATGTTGTTGCAAAAACAAGTTTGAAGTTTTATTATTATAGACGTATCATAACAAAACGATCGTACCCTAGATTTACCATAAATCGCAATTTATCACCAAATGAATGAGGAGTGCGTTCCGTGTGACTAATTTTGTTTTTATTCCCTACTTAACCCTTTCATAATAAGCAAAATAATAATTGCAATAATATCATTGCAAAAGGATGGGATGATTTTTTAAGTACATTCTCAATGTTCTCCATCAAAGGTAGGACGCCAACAGCCTCTTTTATAATAACACGTATTAGCAATATCATCGCTTACTAACACGTGTTTTAAAAAATCAGGCGCTAATACCATTTATAATACCACTAGCTGTCGCACGCGACTCCGTCCGTGTCGTATTTACAAAAAACTTAATAAGTAGCCTATGTCTATAAGACTATGTTCTACATCTATGACAAATTTCAGCGAGATCTATGCAGCCGTTGTGGAGATACCTTCAAACATCCATATAAACATTCGCATATTATATTAGATTTTAATTATTTAATCATCAAAGGAATAATTAGTTAAATATTTGAGAATAAAGTCAATCTTTTAATTTACATCTAATCTACCAATCATCATCATCATCGTCATCATCAGCTCACTATACGTCCCCACCGAGGGGCTCGGTGCCTACCCTAAGTTAAGGGTGATTGGGCCATAGTCAACCACGCTGGCCAAGTACGGGTTGGTTGACTTCACACATATCTTTGAATTTCTTCTCAGATACGTCTCAGATACGTGCAGGTTGCATCACGATGTTTTCCTTTACCGTAAGGACGTCGATTAAATGTACATATGTAAATCGGAAATCGAAAAACACATTGCTACATGGCGGGATTTGAACCCAGGACCTGCAGATTGGAAGTCAAGTGCTTGACCAATGAGCCACTGACGCTCTACAATAATCTAATCTACCACACGCTAGTCCAAATCACCAGGATCATGCAAATGTCAATTATGTTTACAATATAAAATTGCCTGAATACAATCAATTCACAAAGTGTGTCAAACTTGATAAAACTAAACAAATGATATTACCGACATTTGAACCGGAAAAATGCAATTGTGTCAATACTTATCAAAACATATGGTCACATCATCGTTAGAAATATGATACAGATTAAAAAATATAATATCCCTTTGAAAAAATAAAACCAGTAAAAACAAAAGTTGACAAGATATTTGATTACTCTACATTACTTTTCTAAAATATACGTTACGATTATCAAAACATGCCACCAAATTTTAGAGTTCAGTCTGTTAAGGTGTGCACACACTTATAGTGACGCGGCGAACACTAAAAGTAAACACGAATAAGCATTTCGTTTTAAATGTAAAACAAATCTTACACAGTTAGTTATCGTTAAATTTTCTTTATATGAAAGTAACAAAAAAATAATTATTTTCTATATGTGATTATAGGATAAATGCTAATGAAAATCCAAAATTTATTTTTAGGAAAAAAAATATTATAAACATACTAGCTGTCGCTCACGACACCGTCCGCGGAATTAAAAAACCTAATAAGTAGCCTATTCGTACTACGAGACTATGTTCTACGTGTACCAATTTTTTTCAAAATCCGTTGAGCCGTGCCGGACATACCTCCAAACAAACATCCATTCATTTAAACATTCGCATTTATATCAGTAAGACACTCGTACTTAATTTTTTTGCAATCACTCTAGTGTATTGTCAAGTTCATATAAATTTTGCAACATTTGAACTGAGAAACGATGATTGAAACGCCTACAGTTGTATGAAGGTCACATGCCGCGTACTGACGAAACGTTTAGTCTCCCAACTCTTAGCTGGTTTCAAACACCTCACAAATATTTCATCATCATTTCTAGGTATATTAGTGCAAAGATCCTAACAGTCTAGCTACACACTTACAAAAACCTGCAATAAAACCTATTTTACTGGTCTCTGTTCTTTACAAACAGAATGAGAATAAAGTCAATATGTTTTTGTACAAGAGTTTCGGCAATGGAAATCTAATGATAACCTCATTTCGTTTCCTTGGATCTTTACAAATATTATAAATTGCAGTTTTCCTTAACTTCTGTGCGGAATTAAAAAAATCTATTAATAAGCATTGCCTATGTCACACGAGTATAGTGTTCTTCCCAACAGTGATAGAATTTTTCAAATAGGTTCAGTAATTTCAGAGCCTTTTCAATGCAAATAAAGAAATCTTATTTATAATATTAGTATAGATGTTCCTTATATTTTAGATTAATATATTACTACGTATTTATACTACATCACTAATTTAATAATATCATTGTATTCGCTATACATCTAAAAAAAAATTTGATAAATAACAAATTGAATGATGAGTGCCAAATTGGATGTTAGCAATTTTTATTGTAAACGCCGGAAGCTATCAATTGTTTAGTCTTAAAGAGAGGTTATTCAATGGTTAGTGCTGATTCTTACGAGACAAACAGACACAAATATTTAAATCTAGCTGTCGCCCGCGACTCCTTCCGTGCGGAATTAACAAAAATCTTAATAACCTATGTATTCTTCCAGGCTATGTTTTACAACTATGCAAAATTTTAGCGAGATTCGTTGAGCCGTTCCAGAGATAACTTCAAACAAACGTTCATCCATCTATCTAAATATTTGCATTTATAATATTAGTAAGAAATAAGGATACATTCAACTAATCAAAATATTACCCTAAATTCGTGTCGTGTGTGTAGAGCTTAATTCACTGTTTCTTAGGTTCGTTGATTGAATTAGAATATGTATCAACCTACTTATGGAACAATTTCTCATTGTATTTTAATTTGTTATTGTGCGCAAGTGAAAGATACCTTTCTATACTCTACACAGACATTTTATGTCTGTGTTTAAATTCATGATTATATTTAAAAAAATCTATTATAAAAGACCAGACAACTACTAATTGTACTTTCTGTAACTACCGTACTAAGTTAACCAGCATTGTTTAAATTAGCAACAAAATAGTTTCAATGAGATTAACTTTACGTCTTAAGTTTATTATTTATTATTACAAGTATTCTAGGGTAAGCTGTAGTAATATCCACGCTAAAAGTCAACTAAATTCCTTACTTATCACTAAAACTTTAGCGCACCACTAATTTTAACTAAGTACAACTTACCTTCTTTGAACGTAACATACATAAATATTTAATGTGGTCTGCGAGCATTCACTAAAGCACTAACACTTCACGTCTAGCCCACGCCGCTTACAACTCGCGACTAAGTTAGATGCAAGCTGTGGTTGTGTTGACTAAGCTCTATAGCTCACAGTTCATTCACAGCGCAATTAAAAACAGTGGTTCTCAAACATAATTTTATATCATGACAAAAATCATATCGACAAATTAATGGAGAAACGCCCCTATCAGTGTCAAAAAGTGCAACATAATCTTTGTCGAACATTTTTTTGGTTTGTTATTAACAAAATATCTTAACCATATACCGATTTTTTCAAAGGGGAATGCTTTAGGCATACTCCGTGACTCAGGGAAAGCACGGTAGTTATGTGGGATTCTCTCCTCAAATGGGAGCATACCAACTAAACCCCTCTGTTCCCTCATAGCCATAATGTAGGACGCTACGGGATCACGTTGACTTGCCAGCGACGCCCCACTGAACTATACATATACCGACTAACCAGAGTGTAATATTTTTTCACCGTGGGTTTTTGCCACCAAAATCTCTGTATAAAACATATCGTCATCCCTGTCATTACCTTTGACAAAACAGAGATCATAATATGTTTTAAACGGAGATTATGGACTCAGAAAACCACGGTCACGCAAGTCTTTGTGTATATGGGTTTGTATCTTGTTTCTCTGTGATTTACTTGGTCAAGTTTCATGCATTATAATTTTCTCCATCACGTGGTAAATACGTCTACGTCTCTCTAAAGTTTGAGCACCGCTGATCGCGACGGAACATTGTTTGGTCGTCTATTGTTTTGTTACTCACAGAGGAAGTGCAGTGAGTTGCGTCGTGCACAACGCGCGTAACCCATCCTATGACGTAACATGCGATTACGACTGAATAATAAAAAATAGTATATTTAGGTATAATTAAACACAAAACGAAACTGAAATCTTTAACACCGACAAGGAAAGGTCATCGTTTTAATTTGTTTTAGATTTATAGTAGACTTCAAGATCATGTTATAAATTTAGAATTATTATATTCTGAAAAACACTATAAACGGTAAGAAGGTCGAGCTTCCAACCTCATAACTAATTTTCTTTACTAAAAATCTTTTATTAAACTGATGTCAATAGTGCCCCGTGGACTTCTATTAAACATGAACTTGGGGTCCGAACTGGTTTGAAAGTATATTGGCTAACTTAATACTGCAATAATTGTGACCTTCGATACCGTGTAAAGTTCTACTGGTGATAGTTTCCAGGGAATGTAACAAATCTTGCTCAATTTGATGCATTTTTGTCCCAACTGACATAAGTATAGTCGGATTTACAAGGTTCCCTTTCCACAAAGGAGCCAACTAAACCAAGTGCAATTTTAGGTAATGTCTATTCAACTATAAATATTTATTAGCGATTATGTTATTAGTTTTGTTTTTAATTATATAAGGGTGACCCAAATTCGGTATTTGCTGCTTATTTTGATGCAATAATCCTGGTAACCCAAGATAATATTCAGTTGAATCAAACTCACTCACAAACTTCTTACAGTGAAGGAAAACATCGCAATAAAAACATTTTTTTTCTTTTTCTTTCAGAGGGGAATGCTTTATGCATACTCCGCGCATATGGGGGGACACGGTAGCTATGTGAGATTCTCTTCCGGATGGAAAGTATACCCACTAAACCCCTCTGTTCCTCCTATGCATCATGACGAGGCCACGGGCACGTTTACGCTTTCGTCCGCGAATCGTAATATAACCTGCACATATCTAAGAACAAATTCAAAGATATGTGTATCAACCAACCTGCACTGGTCCAACGTGACTATAACCTAGTCACCCCTATCTTAGGGTAGGCTCCGAGACCCTCAGTGGGGACGTATAGTGAGCTTATGATGATGAATACACAAAAACATTTTATAAAGATAACAACGTCTTTTTGTACGGTATTTCGGCAGTGGAATTTACAGTATAGTATCTTTAATTTACTAACTAACTTACCTTGTTTGGTTTAAAATGATATTTGTACTCGTTGTGGGTATTACTTGTATATTATTTAAACTAATCTGAAGCAAGCTACTTGTATGGCCGCCTTCGTTGCTCCATCGCGATTCGATTGCGAAAACCGAAGCGGAGCAACTGCAATTTTAAATTTTTTACTGATGATTTTATCTTTATAACAGTAAAAACATTTACAAAATAATAAAGTCTTTACTTTGATTTCTTAAAATGATATGGCTGTTCTGGTGCGTCATATTTTTTTTAATTAAAATACTGGCGGTCACCAGCGACTCCGTTTGCGCGGTATTAAAAAACATAATAAATAGTATATGTGTGTCCAGACTATGTTCTACATGTATGCCCAATTTCATTGAGATCCGTTTAGCTGTTCTGTACATAAAACCAAACATCCATCCATTTGTAGTATTATAAAGATTTATGTGAAGATCTTCTTACGGTGAAGGAAAATATCGTGATGCAACCTGCACATAACTGAGAAATAATTCAAAGATATGTGTGAAGTCGACCAACCCGCAATTGGCCAGCGTGGTTGACTATGGCCTAATCACCCTTAACTCAGGGTAGGCTCCAAGCCCATCGGTGTAGACATTTCTGTAAAGCAAAGATTGCATTTGTCTGGTATAGAAGAGACACCTAGGGGAAGGAAAAAAGCAAGATGATTCCAATAAATAATTTAAAACCAAATTAATAATGATTAAAATAATGACATAAAGATAGACAACAAGACGTTGTAATTATAGTACTTGAAGTTGTTATTTAACCTTCCGAACTCGACACGATTCGATTTCAGTTAAATGTGTTGTATTACAAATATATGATTTATATTCTTTGAATACTAACAATGTCCTAACGTTTCCGCTGACATTGCTAACATAAATATTCAACATATAAGTAAATAAATAGTCATTACCTACGATCAAAACTAACGCTTAAACTTTACTACTGGTAGAGTTTCGATTATCTAGTTAATTTGTTATAGTTAACAGAACTTAGGATTATATTATACTAGCTGCGCCCGCGACTCCGTCCGCGCGGAATATAAGAAACTTAAATAGCCTGTGTTCTTCTAGCCTGCCGTTGTGGAGATACCTTCTAACAGACATCCATCCATCGGAACATTCGCATTTGTAATATGAGATGATAGAGATGAGAGTATGTTTTCTTTCTTTATTGTTAACCTTATTAAATATTATTTTCCGTGCCATAATGTTGGTAATAACTCTATATTTTAAATGACATAAAATAATGAAATTTTATTTTGTTTTATAGTTATTCATTAAAATGAACATTATATTTGTTTAATTATTTTATATATTTTATATTAATAAAAGTTAAAGGTTAATAATTATGTCCTTAACATTTAAGGAATAAGGACATGATTATATGATTTAAGGACAAAATTATATATAATTACAATTATTTATCTGTTGAATACTAATTTAATACAGATTAAAAATAAATTTACAGTTTTCATTTATATTCTATGATTGCATTTTTAAAAGGCAATTTAATTAGTTAAAGTAATAAAGCGTTAAAATTTTGTAACAATTAATGAAACGAATTGACCTTGAGATTGATTACGATGTTAAGTTAAAAACAACAGATTATATCAGATTACGAATCAAATTAATGGAAAGTTTCTGTAAATTTACATTGACAAAACAACCGATAAAAATATTGTCATCCTTTTCATTTCATGTGGAAAAGACAGAGACAATCTATGTTTCTGATGTGTTTCGACATCAATTTAATTTTATCGATACTTAAATATGACTACAAAAACGAAACAGTGGCAGAAAAAAATGCATTAATAATACACCAACAATGCAGATCACACGTTTATTTGTTCTTCTGAAAATAATTATATACATTTATTGCATAAATATAGAGAATTCCGAAGATAAAATAAATATTGCTCTATGCGTAAATAAAATAATAACAAACACATTAAAAAAAGGTTCCAAAGTAACTTATATAGATGTAGACGATGACAATGAAATAATTAAAAGAATAAATGAAATCAACTTTGTAACAATTGTGAGTCGAACAATAAAATCCAAAGTGCAAGCTTCAAATGATGCATACATTACTAACGTTGAAAATAATCTAACTAGTGTACTCGAATCAATAAAATACGATGTCAATTGGAAAGCAAATGTGAAATTCCTTATTATAGCAAATACTACAAATTCTCTGATTGAATTATTTAAAGAATTAATAACGTATCGTATTAATAATGTTGTTATTATTAATAAATCGAAAGATTACAATTTGTATACTTATAAAACATATGAAAATAATTCATGCGGAAAAAAATACGACAGAGTTATACCAATTGGAAAATGTTTCGAAGCCAATTTTTCCAAATTATATCCTATTCGATCGAAAAAAGGATTAAAAAATTGCTCCTTCCAGGCACTTATAACTGATTCACCACCTTTTTCGTCTATTGAAGAAGAAGACACAAGGAATGTAAAAAATTTAGGAGTTGAACAGTATGTCATTGAAATATTAAGTAAATTGGAGCAATTCGATGTCACTTATGTGAATTATGACAATGCTGAAGAATTTTCTCTGATTAGTAACACGACAATAACTGGACCAATGAAATTAATTCACGAACACAAAGTAGACATGATGTTTGGTGCGATCATGTTATTAGAACAACGAGCAAAAGCCTTCAGTTATTTATGGGGACATGTAACATTTGTTGATGAACTAAAAATAATAGTCAAGAAAGCAGACATCGTACCATTTTGGAGAAATATTTACTTAGCATTCGATAGTGATGTGTGGATTTTATTTTTATCGACATTTTTTCTATTTTTCATTTTAGTAAATGTTTTATATCGTATCGATAAATGTGCGTTAGTATTAATGTTGACTGATCATTGTTTACAGCACAGCACTAAATTAGGAAGCGAGAAAAAGACGCGATGGATCTTTATACATTGGATTGTTTTTACTTATCTGATAAGCATATATTATCAAACGCATTTAACAGGACTTCTGACAAATCCTAGTTTCACGTATCAAATATCAAATCAAAATGATCTAATTAAGTATAAAGTTAAACCATACTATAGTTCTTTCTTTAAAGATTTTTCTAGACACATAGGCTCGTCTGTACAAGATAGTTTTGAAGAATGCGATATGCAAATAAAATGTTTGCAAAATGTAAGTGAATCTTACGATATTTATACAATAGTTTTAAATTCTTTATATCAGCAGAGCAAATGGAAATTTTGCGACAAAAACGGGAACGATCTTTTATCGACATTTAATCAGCCATACAGTAAAATTCTTTATGCTATTTACTTTGAAAAAGGTTTCCCATTTCTGGATAGGTTACATTTGTATACATTACGTATAAAAGAAAGCGGTTTAGTTGATAAATATTTAAATGATTTCTATTACGAACAAAATAAAAAACATTTCCTTAATACGAGAAAGTTTAATAATATATTATTTCCGTGGCACATTCTCGCGTTTGGTTATGGTTTGTCGGCTGCGTGTTTTTTTCTTGAGATTGTTTTTAACTAGATTCTAGCATATAAGTATACTTTTTAATTTAATTTTTAAAACGAACATTCCCTGACGTTTGAATAATATAATAAACAGAACATCGTAAAAATTTAAATATTTTAGCGGTTGTCTTTTTTTGTCAGAACTTTTTTTTTAATTTGTGCATCACTGTTTTGTCTGTAAAAAAAAAAGAAAATGACATATAAATTTATTAACCATTTATTTATAAAATATAGAAAACAGTAATTAATATATATCACCATACATTTATTGGACCATTAAATTGTTCTAAGCGATTTTATAACTAAGTACAAAATACATTATACCTTCACATTTTCTTAAATAAAATAATTATTTATAATTGATGAATATATTTTATTTAATTTATCACAAATCTAATGTTGTTTCCGTTAATTCAAATTATTTTTTTTTCAAATAAAATTTAAAGGCAAGCCGTATACGGCAAGATGAATTAGAAAAACCTCTTTGAAATATAATTTTTAAGGCAACAAAATGGCGGCACTAAGAATATTAAAAGATGAAAAAGACATTCAAGGTAAAAAAAAGATTTTTTTTTATTCTGTAAAGTGAGGAATCATCAACATTTTTTTGTATAATTCATTCGTTATCAAAATAGGATACAATATTTTATATTCCTCTGTCCGTTAGTCTTCTATATTTAAAAAAAAAATCAACGGGCATTTCAAAAGACCCAGTATTTTTGAATTTGGAACATTAACTGAGTTTTAATTATATTTGATTTGTAAAAAAAAAATAGGTATAGAAATTATAAGTAATATTTGTCTTTATTCTAGAATAGCCATTCTTACAAATTAATGTATGTTTTAATTTACATTTATTTGAGCACTCGTGTTTTTTTTTTAATAAAAGGCACTTGTTAGTAACATTTTTTTAAAAATTGTCATGATAACAAAAACAAAATATTTTTATAAATATTTTCGTGTAGATGTCCTAACACAAAGGCGTTTAAAAATGAAAGAAATAATTTGTTTTTCAGAAATTAAAAAAAAAGTTGTTGAAAATTCTCTAAAGTGAGGAATCGTCAACATTTTTTTTGTACATTTATAACGCTTTGTGTAAAGACATATATCACAAAGCAGTCTCTCAAATATAGAAATATTATATATTTAAGCTACCAATCACCTAAAGACAATAGTTACATATATTATGATTTATATTAAATTAATTAAAATTCAATTTGTCCAATTTAATTCATATTTTAGGATGAGGTTTTACCGAAAAAAAAATGTAACAGTGAAAACCGACCTTAATAATAACATGAGCAACAACACCGTAGGTTTCTGCCCCCAAAATCTCTGTATAAAACATATGGTCATCCCTGTCATTATCTTTGACAAGATAGAGGTGACAATATGTTTTAAACGATGATTTTGGTCACAGAAACCAACTATTATTCTTTATAACCGATGTGTTGTTTTAAAGAATGTATTGCGGTTTTCACTGAATTTTAGCAATCAGATAGATAACTCACATTTTATTTCTTATACATATACAGAAAATGGCGGATGACATTTTGACAGTTGCCTGTCAATTTGTGACGTATTTTCTTTCATTTGGTTGATAAGTTTATTTAACATTTAACATCTTAAATATGTCTTATATTCGAAGTTATCCCACTATCACAATAACTGCGGTTATACCATACAACTAAGTATATCAATCAGACCTCTCCACTGACTTCTATAAATATCTGGACAGGTTTTTGCTTAGTTCTAAATTTAAATCCCCAATTGAAGTTACTTCGAGTTTCCTACCGTCGAAAATCAAATAGGCACAAAATATAACGTCTTATAGCCTGTCCAGTACAATATAGAGGTCAGTGGAATTCTGTCAATTATTGCCAAGTTACATCTCTCTACTCTAACCTTATAATGTTTCAAAGGAGTTTGAGTTTTATAATAATTTATACTCTAAATACAGTGAGATAAGGTTTAAAATAATTTATCTCGTGGATCTGAGTTTCCAGCGCAGGAATAGGAAGGCGGAGACACGGAGGACGACAAAGATGAGACACAAAGCCGCGATGTCCAGGGTTATGTCCGCGTCCAGCATGTCCAGTTCTTCCAACGTCGTGTTTGGATCTTTGAAGTGGCAGTACGTCTGGAAAAAAAAACAATAAAAAATGTTGCGATTATATTTGACCGTGTCTATATTATTTGCTGCGTCGTGTGTTTTCGTGACATGACGAATGGAGCAATCTTGCTAATATGTGTTATAAAAGCGAATGTTCAGATGGAGGGATGGAAGATTTGTTAGAAGGTATCTCCGGAACATCTCAACAGATCTTGATGAAATTTGACACATATAGGGAACATATCCATACATACAAACATTCGCATTTATATTATTAAGATTGTGTCGCGACATGGTTCATCTCGTCGTTTGTATCTTATTTGCATTGTTTAGTCGTAATATATCGTGCATTAGCATGTCGTAACTTACTGATTCATTCGTCAACAATTTGTGATGTGTCGTGATGTATTGTGATGTATTGTGATATATTGTGATGTGTTGTGATGTATGAACGCTGTATCCTGTGGTTACCTGGTGGCACTGCAGCTTGGTGCGGTTGAAGGAGTACGTGGCGAGTGCGGTGCCTTCAAAGCCGTATCTTATGTAAGAGAGATATGTGATCCAGCGCAGATACACTGGAATCGCATTGAACGACACGAAGAAGCCGCTGAACAACAGGAACGGGACTGACATCACTGGCGCGAGGAATACGCCGTTCTGGAAACAACCACAGGGTAATAAAATCAGCTTTTATAGACATTTTTTGAGATGGCTAATAGATGGCGCTACAATATGCGACACAGAAGACTTTCTTCAAGTGGCAGTAATTCCGCGTACAGTCTGATTGTGGTGGCGGAAGTCTCAATTTAGTCCTCTTTCCTGCCTTTTTATAAGGAAAAGATGGCAATGGGCAATGATGGAAAAGAGAAATGTTATCTTACGCGCGTCTCCTCTGACGACTGAAGGAGGCAACGCATGTGCAATTTCATCAATTCGAGGTAGCACCTCGTTAGTGCCTAATAATATAAGAAAAAAAATGTTTTTTATTATACCTGTACGTTCATAGCAGCACCAACAACAAGGCCGACACTCTGCGCTACGAAGGAGATGAGGAGACAGGAGCCGAGGAAGAGCGCGAACCTCGACCACTCCAGCGGCTGGGAGGTCAGCAGGTACACGATCACCACGTAGATTATGCAGAATATTGCCTGTACACATTACACGTGTCTTACCAAACATGGCGCCGATATCAATGGGCAGAAAAATTGCCTTTCCATCTTACAAATGTCAGCATTAAGAGTGACTAGAACTAAATATACCACAGATATAAAAAAATAATTTATTTTATATACAAAGTATTCTGTAAACTGAAGTCGCAACGACGTTCAATCACGTTCAAATCATTGCACATAGAAAATTTCAAATTTTTTTAACTCTTCATTAATTACTTATAACTTAATTTTTATGAGGTGAGACAGTAAAATAACTCAGAAAGAATCATCAAACTTGAGCGAAGGTAACAACTAATAAAAAAAGAATAGATTTTTTTTTAAATCGCTAGAATGACGTATAAAAACTTTAACATACATCCCTTGACGCTAGCGCCATCTACTTTTTCTTTCCATTATCTTTGTTAAAATTAATATTAGTTTAGTTAAATATTAACCTGGAATGGTATATCAGAGACGGTGATGGCCAGGTAGTAGGATCGCAGCGAGTACCAACGATTGAAATGTTCCTTCACAAGTACTGGCATCTCCAATGGGACTGGAATCAAACACAAATAAACTTCAAAATTGATAAAAACATATACAAACCACAATACCAAATCGTATTTTAATACGACGCTTAAATATTTTGACCATAGACAATTCTGCATAGCTTATGGTAAAAATTGTTTATTCTCAAATATTTCCGATAAAAAGCAAAATTTCTTTAAAATATAATTAAAATTGTGTCTTATATCAACCATTTTGTGATTCAAAATGAAAATATCTTTGTATATTTTTAAAGTTTTAAAATAAAATTTAAATCCAATTTATATATAAAAGACTTCAAAAAGTTAAAAGAAAAACTCAACTTTATTCCCAATGCTAATAATTATTTTCAATACTTACAGCTGAGAATGGTGATGGTCATGGAGGTGTACATGAGGAAGAGCATATTGAAGAAGAGGAAGCCGAGGTTGGAGAGCACTTTGGAGCCATCATCGCCGATATCGTAGTAGAGAGCGCCGATCAGGAAGCCCACCAGGATGTGCGCGAACAGACGCAGGTACATCAGCGTCTGCACACATCGGATACTCCGTTATGTGACGTATCATAAAAGTTTTTTTTTATAACAGAAGGGGGCGAACGAGCAGCGGGAACACCGAGGTGTTCAACGACGCCCATGGACATCAACAATACCAGAGGAACCGCAGATGCGTTGCCGGCCTTCGAGATGGTGATAAGCTCGCTCGAGTGTACATAAAGATATCATTTTAATAGTGGTAGACGCCGGCAACAAAATCTTGCAGTCTGGAACTCGCACACAGAAGACACGTCTTAAGTGGAAGTAATTCCGTCTACAGTCTGATGAGTGAGTGTTGTGGAAGCCTAATTTTAGTCTTCTTCTTTTTTCCATCCTTTTCATTGGACAAATATGAAGGGAAAATGTGGTCTTTCTGTGCGCGTCGTCCTGATGCTGATGTCTATGGGCAGATCACTATGCTATTTCTAGCGAATTCAGGTGACCGCTTGTTCTCTTCTTTATGAGTCTTAGTTAGTTTGTTTAGCGACCTTCGAATCTTAATTTTACCTACTACTTTTCTATACAGTCTATCATTTTTTTTATTTCAATTGTTATTTAAGCAATACAATATATATTTCAAAGACCAACTCACCCAATCCCTCCTGCTGAACAACAAAGTCCTCTTCAGCACGACCCAGAACTGCGTCAGCTCGGATGTGGCATACCGGCGCGGAGAGGCCACGTCTCCCAGCAACGCTTCCTCAACATTATCTGGTTTCTCTGCATCCATTTGTACTACGATAGGTTCACCCGCTGAAATTAATTGTTCATTATTACGAGACGGATGGCGCTTTTTTGTGTAGGAAGACAACTAGGAAGCCGGAGAACTAATTTCAGTCCTTTACTTATAAGGAAGGGGAAGGAAAAAAAGATTTGACGGAGGATTTCGTGCGTCTCTTCCTCGATCGATTAAAGTCTTTTGGCAGCGGTCGCTACGCTAATTTGGCGAAATCAGGCGGTCGCTTGCTCATTTGCCACCGTACAATACAAAAAAAAAACTTTAGGCTTTTGGACATTGGTACAAAAGAGTATCAACTCCCTGGCCTTACCCCACTCACGTGGGGTCGGCGCACGGAGTTTTATTGACCTTCAATTTTTGTCTTATTTTTTACGGTACACATGAGTATTTTAATTAAAAAAAAACACCGACTATTGTATATGATTGTATATCATTTCGGAAACAAATAAATATAGAAATCAAAGTCACCTCAAAGATCAAAATCGTGCAAGTTTTTAATAGGTTACATGAGGTTTTAATACTAATAAGACATAAAGCATATTCGCATTGGGCAAAAAGGTCGTTACCCGGTTGTTTTTCAATTTTAAATCTTATAATTTCAAACGTGTTTCTAAGATATAACCGGTTGTACGACTGTTATGACCCCATCAATACTAATTAGACTTCAAAAAGAAAACATGAAGACCACACAGGAGACAGGAGTGAAGTGAAAGCAATTCGGCGTTTCGTCTGATGAGTGTGCGTCCCGGAGGCCTAATTTAGTCCTCTTTCCCTTCCCATCCTTTTCTTTATAAGGAAAGGATGGGAAGTGGAAGTAGACTTTCCGGGTGAGAGGAATGCATGGAAAAGGGTAGATATTTTCTTTCTGTGCATCCTCTGCTCCGTCGATTAAAGGTAGGCAACGCATATGCAAATGCGTATGTCTATGGACAGCAGTCACTTAGCTATTTCAGCGATTTCAGGTGGCCGCTCGCTCGTTTGCCACCTTTTGATATAAAAAAATGGACATAAAAATGTCGTGAATACCCTTGTTAGTAAGAAAGTTCTCTTCTTTCTTGTAATATATCTATATTGTTCAAATATTATTTTGAAGTCGGTACCGGCCGTGTACAAAAAAACATACATACGAATTGAGAGCCTCGTATTTTTTATATATAACGAATAAAACTCAAAAACTACTTGATGGATTTCAAACATTCTTTTGCTTTTAAAAAGCTACATTAACACTGACTAACATAGGCTAAAATTAATACTAATATTTTTTTCAATTCCGCATAAAGTCGTGGGCAACAGCTAAGTCACAAAATTAACAAAAAAAAATATATTTTTTGAAACCTTTTAAAATCTATTAATAGTCTATTTTTATTACAACCTATTTTTAAATTCTTCATTCAAGCGATTTTAAACCATACCTTTCAACGAATAAGATACATTTTTGTTTACTCATGTGCTAAAAGAATAGGTACTTACTAATTTAAATTTTAATTTAGCGGCAGAGAACAATGACCTTATGGGTCTTTGCTCTGACCCTTATTTGTTATTCGACAGATTTTACAAAGGATTTTGTTAACATTTTATATTTATTAAAATAAATGTACAGACATTTCAAACAATATATTGTCAAAATAAGATGAAATTATCTTTGTTCTTTTGACAAAGAAGAATTAACGTTAAAAAGTTTTTAGTACATATATATAAGTATCAATAGCCAAAATAAAGAAAAATATATAAAACGAATCTTGTTTTATATTATTTAAGAATGTATATTCAATTTAAATTTTTCCCCAAAGTATATTTTACTCTCCTATGGGTCGGACAATATCAAAATCAGCTAATACGCCCACTAAGTTAAAGGCAACCCTAAGGGTGATTTAATTAACAAAATCAAAAAAGACTTGCTCACCTTTGCCCTTAGCAATTTCATTAGCAGCATACTGTAGTAATCCATTTTGCAGGTTGCTGGTGCCGTTCACCTCCTTGTGATCATCACTGAACTTCTCCTGGACCTGGGAGAGGTCGTTCTTATTCCATTGTCCGGCAGACTTGAGTGACGACTCCATGTCTTTCTTGTTATTGAAGTCTGGTAACTTGGCATCGGGGAAGGGCATGCCATTTCTAGATTAAAATATTTTCTAGTATTATAAAGAGGAAAAATTTGAATGTTTGTTTGTAATGTAAATGCTCCTGAAATTACTGAACCGATTTGAATAATTCAAGTGACATAGACAACAATATTACAAAATTTTTTCAAATTCCAAACGGACAAAGTCGCGGACAACTGCTAGTTTAAAATAAGATCAGTAAAATTTGCTGCCATATAAACATTTATTCGTTTTAGGAATAATGAATATTAACGAAAAAGCTTTACAATAAAAACAATTTATCATCATAATAAAAACAACAAAACAGAGGTATGAAGTATTTCAAATTAATTAGCTATAATTTACCTTAATTACTACTAAATTTATTTTTTAATTAATTTTAACAATACATAATTAACTTTTAACTTCCTTTTCAAAGGTCATGTGGTATTGTAACCTATTAAAACCTATCTTTAGTTAAACTCATTTAAAATCAAAATTTTATCACATTATACGTGTTATTGCCGATGGCGATGCATACCCTATGACACTCTGGGGAAGAAGACGAGTAGAATTACACCTTATTCATCAAAATCGAGTCGTTTACACTATTACAATGGAATTTACATACAAACAAAATAACATACGCGCAAAGACATTACCATCTTTATCAGTCGGGTAAAAAGAAGGCGCCGTAGAAATCTCGCCCAGGGCAGGAGTATTGCTAAAAATAGTTACTGTCGCCCATATCATGTCGGTACTAACCTGATGTCATGTTTGCCGTTATCAATAGCGCGCACCAGCTTGCCCGTGTTGTCTCCGTACTCTCCGCATGACACCTCAATGATGAAGGAGGCCGGGTTGTGGTAGGAGGGGCACTGCAGACCCAGGCTGCCCAGCCATTCCACTACACACCACAACAATTAATATACTAGAATACACTAAATACTTTATGAAAATCAGCAGCAACTAAATTATTTAGTAAATATTATGTGTTTTTTAATTCCGCGCGAACGGAGTCGCGGGCGACGGCTAGTCTTTTCAATAATTGTTGAACCCGAATGATGTTATCAATATTTTTGTAGTAAAATGCATTTTACTATTAGAAAAAAACTTTTAGACATTAGTTAGAATCCTTTGATGCGAATTGCGCGCTTTCATTACAAAGTCAAGTGTCAGAATGAATAGTGATGGGACATGAACGTCGACATTTTAGTAAGGCCAGTGTTGCGCCAGTACACCGGCACAGTGTCGGATTTTCTTCCTAACATGAACATGAAACATATAGTCATAGTATAAATAGAAATAACTCACCCAATCTCCCAGTGCTGCCTTGATAAACACATTGACCATCAGCTAGCGTGTACAGATGGTCGAACATTTCAAAAAGACGAGCCGAGGGCTGGTGAATAGTGCAAATGATAGTCCGTCCCCCTCTCGCCAATGTCTTCAGTAAAGAGATGCACTGGAAACATGAGGAACTGTCCAGCCCTGAAGTGGGTTCATCAAAGAACATGATAGGAGGGTTGTTGACTAACTCCAGAGCTATGGATAGACGCTTCTTCTGACCTCCGGAGAGATTTGACGTCATTGTTTTGTGGTGCTCGGAGAGACCGAGGGTCTCCAGGATTTCTCGGATCTAGAAAAAATGTATTTTAGTCTTTGACATATTCTGAAATTCAAGTGGGAGCAAACCATAGCCACTAAAAAATTAAATTGTTTATAAGTATTAAAAATATAAAAAATATAATGCGTTACTTCGCATTAAAATAATCTATTTTTTTTGTATTTTAACCAAACCTACATAAGAGCAAACAATTTATTAATGTTGCTAACTCTAATGAGCGACAATACTTCTACTACATTATATTTTCTGAAATCCTGGTACTCACCACTTCATCTTTATCAGTCCTGGTTGTGGCAGTAGGCAACTTGAGCGCGGTGGCAACCGACATTGCCTCCTCGACTGTCAGGTTACCGTGTAACTGATTGTCCTGCATGATATAGCAAGATAGCTTTCGGAAGCTGGACAGATTACGCTCCATACCATTCACCGTGATACTGCCCTCCATTCCTGATGTCCTGGTGGATAAAAAATTAACAATATTTAACAAAAACATCACAATATAAGACGTGGAAATTTACTTCGCTTTTTGACTATCGCTTCCGCCAAAAAACCCTATTTTATTTATAATTCATACTTCAAAATTGTAAGCACAATATAATGAAGTAATTGGTATCATTATATTATAAAATATGCTACCATTATACCAACCAAAAGGTCATTTAATCAGGTAGTCTTGCGGTCAAATTTACCAATTATTAAAGGTAATTTTAGCAAAAAAAATTATACTGTTAATCTCTTAATGCCAAAATCTGTAGACATAAATGACCAACGAAGGTATAAACAATCATATACCATGAAATACTTCTCAACAAAAAGCCGAGGCAAACTGCAGGAAATTCATTCGTTAAAGAACATTGATCTAAAAGCAAAAACATATGATTCCTAGCTACCAGTATATTTAGAAGTCGCAATAGCTGCGTTAGGATAGGGCAAGATAGGGCAACCGCCCTGGGCGCCGTGCATAAGGCGGTGCCGCAGGCGCCCAAGTGGAGTGTAAAAGGGCGCAGGAGGCGCCTCCTAAGATTCCCTATCTTTAGAAGACTTTCCTCTACAGTAAAAAAATGGAGCGGCGCAAAAATGTCGCCCAGGCAGCTGGAAATGGTAAATCCGGCCCTGCACCGTCCTAACATACAGTATGGATAATGAAACTACAAAAACATATGGTCATCAATTGAAATAATACCAATAATAAAATATTTTACGACAGTACATATAAATTAATTAATTTCAGCATTACGCTGTTACTGTATTCAGCCACGTGGAAAGCTTTTTGTAAATTTTAACATAAAGTTGCGTTATTATCTGACAAGGGGGAGCCCGCATAAATACATCATTGTGGTAGATATAGATTACCCAAATTTGTAAACAAACAATAGTGAATAAGTATATTAAATAGACCCTTACGCTTAATCTGTAATTTTATATAATAATACTGTCGATATAATTATATTATATTAATTAAAATGTATACAACGCTAAATTATCTGTTCAAAAAAACTAAAATAAATCTAAAACAGTGATATTTTGTAAAACTTAACAAACGATAACATTGCTCGCATTACTCATATGTTGGCAAATTAGTTTCTTGTTTTCATATGTTAATGTTTATAATTTTGCCCCAAGGTCGTAGAACAGGTAACTTAGCAGTGGACCGGCAACTTTAATAATCTGCTCTTATATGGAAAAATATAACATGTCTGACTACACTAGCAAGGATATAAACGATATCCGTAAAACCAATTCTATTTAAGATTTCTCATGAATATGCAAGATATTACACAAATAGTAAAAAAATTGTCAATTTTATTCCAATTGTATTTGACTTTAGTTGTTGGAAAAGTTGTCTTATATTCCAATCATACTAATATCGTACGAATATTATAAATGCGAAAGTTTCATTAGATGGATAGATGGATAGACGGATGTTCGTTACGTATCTCCAAAACGGTTTAACATTTCTCGATGAAATTTGGCACAAATGTAGAATACAGGCTGGAAGAACACGTAGGTACTAAAGTCTTTTATACTTCCGTGCGGACGAAGTCGCAACTAAAAGTTTAAATAATTAAGTCGTAGTACATAAGTAGCATTTAAAGGGGACAACTTTTTTTACGTTAAAAACCTTGGCTGGTGTACCCCCGAACATCATACCAAAGTTTCAACAACATCAGTCCAGGGTCTTAGGGAAGCATAGGAGGTCGCGGACGAAAGCGCAAGCGTGCCCGTGTCCTCGCCATGATGCGTAGGAGAAACAGAGGGGTTGAGTGGGTATGCTTCTCATCCGGAAGAGACTCCCACATAACTACCGCGTCCCCCCAGGGGCGTGGAGTATGCATAAAGCATTTCCTTATGAAAATAAGGGAAGCATAGGGGACTAACATACATTAGCTAATCATACTAATCACAGCCTTATAATAGTAAAGATAAAAATGATATAAATAAAGGAATTATTACACAAAATAATTCACTACGCATACAAATATGTACTTCCTTAGCATTATTCCCAAACATAATTTAAACCAGTCCGACGACTACGTCAGACTACCGGGTTGCTTAATTAATATATTTATCGTTATATTTTCATTCATCGTCATTAAAAGTAAATCAAATAAAAAATACAAGCATTTTTATATTGGAAGTTTACTAATGACCGTGATTTACAAGATATGTTTATGATGAACCAACTTCTCTAATATACTAGACAAGGAGTGGCCTTAATCTAAGGAAAACACTATTAAAAATTGACATTATTAATTCCTCGCCATTTGAAGTCACATAACTGTCTAGCCAAAAAGAGGAAGACAAGATGTACGGTACTACAGTAATCAAATAAATGCTTAGAAATTCACTGAGTCACGACAAATTGCATTTGAAGTTAGCATACTCCTTCAGTCGACTGCACGAAAGAATTACTATTGAAGGAACCCAACAATGTCTATCATAGTGCATAATGTACCCATAGATATGGAATAAAGATGGAAATTATATGAAGAAAAAACTTTCTCAGACAATGGTCTTTGTTAATTATTCATTAGTCATCGTCATATACAAACATACGTCAATGCAGAAACTTGTTATATACACGACTACGTTGACAACAAAGTACAGTTCTACACATTTTGATTCATTGTTTTTATGAAAGAAGAACCTAACCCATGAATCTAAGTGTACGGTTTGCAGAGAAAGAGACAGTTCATTACACCTGAGTTTAGTACACTTTCAATTATATATAATAACTAGCTGTCGCCCGCGAATCCGTACGCGTGTTTGTTTAAAAAATACCCTTAACATTTAGGGGGATGAAAAATAGATGTTGGCCGATTCTCAGACCTACTCAATATTGTGACAATAAAATTGTGACACGACAATTTTATATATAAGATAGTTACTAATAATTACGAATGTTTAGATGGATGTTTGTTTGAAAGTATCTCCAGTACGGCTGAATGGATCTCGATGAAATTTGGCATACATATAGGACATAGTATGGAAGAATACGTAGGCTACTAATTATGTTTTTTTTTTAATTCCGCGCGGATGTAATTGCGGGCGACAGCTATATAAAAAGAATCTGAATTAAATTTGTAACAGAGATAGATTTCAGTCAAGAATGGGTTACTTCTTGAGTTTTAATTTCACGCAAACGAAGTCGCATGAGACAGCTAGTTTAGGAATAAAAGCAAAAGCTCATTTGAGGTTACCTACACAAGTCATGTTGCGAAGTAATTGCTAAGATGCCGACGTGCGGTTTCGCAAGTGTCGTATGCAAATGTGCGCCTATAAACTCGGAACGTAAGCGATCTGCGCACGCGCTCGCAAATGTGTGCAAATCGTATTGGATTAAAGAGGTCTTTCCTGTGTAAAACGATGCTCTATAACTACCATGCGCATACGTAGAGTAAGCTTTGTTCTTTTGCATCAGATTTTTAAGGCAAGATTTATTATTGACAATGAATAAATGCTTAAAAAGTCATTAAAACTAAATAGAGGTATTAATTTTCGATTCCAAATTCAATTTTCCTCGTGTATCATAATGAAACATAGGACATTCACCTTGTACTGAGAATTTAACATACCAAACTCGTTTTCTAAACGTGTGTTTCTGAAACCAAAACCCCGTTTAAAGACATGTTATCTCTGTTTTGTCAGAGATAATGACAGGGAAGACGATATGTTTTTTTATTTTAGACTCAAAAACATACGGTAAGACTTACGTGGTAACAAACTTTGGTATTTCTTAATATTAGTAGGAAGTCAGAATTTCGATCATACAGGTAAGTTTTATACATAGTCAAATAAGGATATCTGAACCGGTCAGAGAAGTCCTTCTATCAATATGTATTTCAATAAAGACATAGAGAATTGCGTAAAAATATATATATCACAGCTACAGTACAACGAGGATCTTGTGGCATTTTTTGACGTCGACAGGGAGGCGCTAGTGAGCTCTTATAATTTAGTTTGACAGCTCACTAGCGCCCCCTGGTTCGGATAGCCTTGTCGGTCTATAGACTGCTGAAGTGTGAATACAATCCTAATATGTTTACATACTAGACAGCTATGTGAGCAATAATGCAATCAAACCGGATCCTAGCGTTATCAGAAAACATAGTATGTCACGAGGTCGTAGCGCCTTTGACGCGTTCATCAGACCTGCGATTGCATTACCGTCATATTAAGTTATATTTATTGACACCATACATTTGTTTTTTTTATTTATTAATTTTTTGTATAGAAATATTCATAGTAATGTGGCCGAGAATAAACTTAGCTTTTGAAGTATATATAGATACTAATTATAGCTTGCGCTAGCTTATTTCGAGGCGTTTAGTTGATACCGTAGATAAGTTAAGCAAGTATTTGAAAGTATATTGTTATCTTTGTCTATTTCAAAGAGAACGACAGTAATGACATTATTTTGTACGATTGTTTTGAAACGTAAATCCTCAGGTAACTCTAAAACATTTTACATCGTAAATGCACATAATTATTTCCTTCCATCAAGTGATACATGACAACTAATCATCATTTACTCTATGGAAAAAAACATTATTAACATAGAAAAATATATAAAACTCCTATAAAAACTGTGTATTTGCTAACTACGAGTATTTCGTAACTGTATTGCCAAGTCGGCACGCTTAGGTACAACATGTTCTATTTTCCCAAGTCAGTGAGTAATACATCAAACTAGCTGTCGCCCGCGACTCTCGAAAAAAAAAATAAAGTAGTAGTCTATGTGTTCTTACAGACTATGTTCTACATCTATACCAGATTTCAGTGAGATCTATGCAAACATCCATCCATCCAAACATTAGCATATATAATATTAGTAAGATGAAACAAATATCTACGTCTTATATCGATTTTAAATTCATATGGTCGACGTATACACAATTATTTAGCGTAACACAGGACAGAGGAATCCATTGTTTGCAAATTCCTCGCTCTGTCGGTTCGCGAGTTGTATAAAGGAAATTGCTTGCAAACAATAGCCTCTTTGAATAATTCACATATAATTTTAAACCATGACAAATCACAATATGGTTTTTCCCACTAAAAACTTTTTTCCATTTTTTTAATCTAATACCTCTAACTTTGCAGCTTTCTTAATGCAGTATTCCAAATAAGTAAAAGTCGTCCATTCCACTTTAAAATATTATTATTATATATTTTTCATATCATTTCTTCTCTTATATTTTGCATATCTATTTTTCGATTGTTTGTCTGTACTAATATTATAAATGCGAATGTATGGTTGAATGTTTGTTTGGAGGTATCTCCAATACGGCTGAACGGATCTCGCTGAAATTTGGCACAGATGTAGAACATAGTCGGGAACAACACATAGGGTACTAAATGTTTTTAGTACCACGCGGATGGAGTCGCGGGCGATAGCCGGTAAGGTCACAATTAAACCGATTCTCATCATAAAGCGAACATAAGAATCAGTACGCAAATAAGGTCTTTAGAATTATCTAGAACCTTTACATCGTTATAAACCAAATATCTAACTAATATTATAAATGCAAATGTTTAGATGAATGGATGGATATTTGTTTGAAGGTATCTCCAGAACGGCTGAACGGATCTCATTGAAATTTGGCATACATATAGAACATAGTCTGGAAGAACACATAGGCTAGTAATAATGTTTTTTTTATTCCGCGTAACGTACCGTACCGCCTTACAAGTGGTAACTGTAAGTAATCAACGCAAAAAATGGCAAAATAACCCACTTTATGATGGCCTCATCTGTACACTAAGAGAAAGTTTAAAAATACGTCAGTCAAAGAGCGTAAGAGGCGTGATTTTCTAACAATGCAATATTTGAAATGCGATTTACTAATATTATGTTTTTGTAGAAGGTTTGTCGTAGGTTTCCAAGATGTACGTTTAAAACATATTGTTATCTCTCTTTTGTCAAAGATAATGACAGAGATGAAGATATGTTTTATACAGAGATTTTAATCTCAGAAACCAACGCTTAGAAAAGGTATTGTGACTGGAAAAATGATTGACATGAGGAGATATGTTTTTCGCGGGTGTTTTACTTGGTCATCGCTTTTTAAATTTTAACCGACATTTACTTGGCTTAAGTCAACAATTACGAAATACGTTAAAACTTTGTTAATTAATTGACACTGTTTTATAATGTTGCAAGTATGAAAAATTCCATAAAACAAAAAATGTATTTTTATGAGCTAAGCGGAAATTAAGCTGACGAGCAAAAACCGCAGCATAATAATTACTAGTTATAAACATACATATTAAACGAAATTAAATATTATTAATTTTTCTAACCCAAGTAAATTATTATGTAAGTTGGTCGATGTAATATTAATAAATCTCAGTAAAATTCCATTATTTATATAAATAGTTTAACTCGTTGAATGCAAGTACCAGGCAATCATAGATATAAAGGATGTACTCACTTGTATCCAGTAAGTATGTTCAGGAGCGTGGACTTGCCGGCGCCGGACGGACCCATGATGGCCGTCAGCTCGCCGGACCGCAGCCGACCCGACACGGACTTGAGAATTATTTTCTCATCTGTAAAGAACAATTTTGATATTTCATTCTTTTTAACGATATAGTTATCCCTTTCAAAGTCTTTAAAAACACAGAGATAATAGCATATTTTTCATATACAAACGGTTATATCTTTTGATTGGGCTGGCTTAGAAGTTTTATTTTTTCACAGCACCTGGCGACCGCAGACCTGAACATTTGATAAAAATTCCAGCTTGATATCTTCACGCGTTTCTGAGATAAAAGGTCTTAACAGACAGAGGGACGGACAACAAAGTGATCCTATAAGGGTTCCGTTTTTTTCCTATGACGTACGGAACCCTAAAACAAGAATAATTCAGCAACTTTAACAAGTTACTCATAGTAAATACTTAACTTAAAAGGTCATGGTCTCACTACCCTATTTGCGTTAATGAATTGCGTATACAATTTCTCAAGGACCTAAGAATACTTCTGTACCAAAAGAAAACAAATATGAAGTGCCTCTTAAATATACATACAACCTATTATCACCCGTCACACGTTGTAAATAAGGTTGATAATAATTTGTATTAATGTCTGCATAATATTAAAATGTTGTGCATTCATATATCTGTACAAAACGTACAATATTCCCGCGGGAAAACCCACAAGCTATTTTATTCATCATGTCTTCCGCGACATAACGTTCTGACTCCAGTATTTCTGAGGCATCATCATCAACCTGCCCTTATCCCTATTGAGCACCACCTAAACCTTATACCATTTAAAGCAAAATATTCTAAAGCTGTTATTTAAGAACTAGAAACAAGACCAGATAAAAGGCAATGTTATTGATACAGGATGTCATCAGCTCACTATATATCCCTAATGACGGGTTCGGAGCCTACTCTATGTTTTCGTTCACCATAAGAACTTCAGATAAACGTACGCGGAATTAGGACCTGCAGTCTACAAGTCAAGTACTTAGCCCGTGAGCCACCGACGCTCTTGATATACACGTGACATGAAAATTAACTTCGTTTGGACTGAATAGATCACTGTCATTAAAGTGTACCAAGTAAGCCTATAAAAATTAAAAGGCATAGCAATTTAAATTGTAAATAGGTGCAGTGTCATACGTTGAGCAATAACATGATAAGGACGAATACAATGACTAAATATAATAAAAAAAGTCGTAAACACATTTTTTTACCAGTCAATCGAAACGTAGGCAGTTGTTCAACCTATTTGCTACATATACTGACAAAAGCTATTTATAATATACAAATTAAAGTAGACAATAATAAATTTAAAACAATAAGATGTATTAGATAGGATAAACTTAATATGGCAATGAATCAAAATGTACAAACACAGAGGTTCGTGATATCGAGTGAGTTGGTTCATAGGTCAAATTCCACTTCCCGTTGTGCGTGCAACAACGATAATTTACAACAATGAGTTACTTTAATGTTCCTAACGCTCGAAATGTGAGTTTCCACTGTCAAAATACATTTATAAAAATATATTTGTCTATAAAATATTGTGTGCAATGTAATTTAAAATACATTTAAATGGTTACAACTTGTGCGTGAGTTGTTAACTTTTTCACATGTATTAGGTAAAAACAACGTAAATATAGATAAAAGAAATTTATAAACTGTGCCAATGTATTATACAATTTATTATGATTCTTGAGAGGGTGTTTCATCTGATAGCTATGAACTACTAACCGTTGATTTTTGAGACCAAAATATCTATCAAACACTAGCTGTCGCCCGCGACTCCGACCGCGTGAATATATAAAAAACTTAATTAGTGTAGCCCAGCCCACCCATCCATCCATCCACATATCCATTTAAACATTCGCAAAAAAAAGAATAAATAGTATCCTATGTCTGTCTCCTCTCTATAAGCTACCTCTTCACCAATTATCAGCCATATCGGTAAAGCCGTTCTTGAGTTATAAATAGTGTAACTAACGCGACTTTATGTCCCTGTCATTAATTTGGACAAAACAGAGATAACAATATGTTTTAAATAGTAATTAACAGGGATTTCGGTTTCAGAAACAGACGGTTAATCCATCACAGATATTCACAGAGATTTAGTGAATCTAATCCATCCAATAAACATTTAATTAGGACAGAGGAAAATGATAAAACAATACGATATTCACACGAATAATTACGCACACGTCCTTGCCTTCAGCTGTTGTGACGACAGAGACGATAAGATAGGAAGCGACGGATTCTGTGTAAACAATGGAAAACAAATACATTATACCAAATAGAGATCAATTTTGCATTAACTCTATAATTTAATTATCATATTATATATCTTTAAATATTCAAGTAAAATGAAACATAAGTGAAGAAAAGCATACATATAAAAATTTTAATAACTTATTTCTCAATAATATTTATCTAACTACATTAATGGACCTAACTTTAAGGGTACATCGTCTGGACTACAAACGCTTGTACCAAACACTTAACTTCACTTTGTCTTTTAAAAATTTAATAAAAATATATTTTGTACTAATTTTGTCAGTGATAATAAAGCTTCAGACCATGAACTATTTCATATCCTCGTTGTTTAATTGCATCGATATCCTTAAATCGACTTAATTACAAATCGTAGTAGGATACAATTAATATGTTTTCCTTAAAATTTTCCGCTTGTTTACCTTGATGTAAAAGTTTAACAACAAAAATGGTTGAAAGGTTACTTAAAGACCTTTAACCCCTTTAAGGCATACGGAAGTGACGACAAAGTTAGGTTTCTCACAAGTTAAACTTATATAAAAACGGTTAAACACTAACGTATATTCGTCCGGTGGCGGCACCGACTAATTTCAAGCCCATCGGGGACCCTTCATCAGGGTTCCGCGAAGTAATACCAGTACCACTCACCCTGCTAGTAAAGAGAGGCAAAAAGACGCAATAGTTATATCGAAGATAAGCTAAAACGCGTATTATTCGGTATCAACAATTAAAAGTGGAATCGTGGTCAAGCGCTAGTTAAAATCTTACTAATTGTTACTAATATTATAAATTCGTATGCTTGGATGTATAGATAGATGGATGTTTGTTTAAAGGTATCTTCAGCACGGCTGCATGGATCTCTCTGACTTTTGGCATTGACGTAGAACATGCCCTGAAAGAACACATAGGCTGCTCATTACGTGTCTTGTTTAATTCAGTACGGACGGAGTCGCGGGCTACAGCTAGCTAGCTAGCTAGTTATCAATAATAAAAAGGTAATAAATGAATAATTCAACGATTTGTCGAAGTAATCCGTCTTCAAGGATCGATTTAATTTGCATTTCATCAGCCGTCATCCGCAAGCAGTGTCGATTACGGCCGGTCGCGACCTTACTTTATCTACGAGTAAGTTCCGCCTCGTAAGCATATCATTGCAATGATAACGATGGTGATATTATCATTAATTCATATGTAATCATTAAAACATTCAATATCTACTAAAATATTTAAACATAAACTAGCTGTCGCCCGCGACTTCATCCGCGCGGAGTTACTAGCCTATGCGTTCCTTTGGGCAATGTTACACATCTATGCCAAGTTTCATCGAGATGCAGGCGTTTTGGATGCAACATCCAAACATCCAATCATTCGTATTTATAGCATTAATAAGAAGTATATGACTAGAATACAAGCATTTTGACAATTAATATCAAATATCCTCTTCAGTTGACTGTATGTTTCCACTGACAATATGTTTCGTTATATATAATTTGTAGTAGTTATTCAGGGTTAGTTTCTCAAAATTCTTGCATATGTAATAACAATTACTTTGGTTACTATACTAATTAGAAACTTGATAAATTTGAAGGCGAAAATGTTTCGTAATAATTATTTTTATCAAATGATAAGAAACGGTAGCTGTTATCTTAGACATGACCAAGAAAGAAAGTATTTGAACGAAAATAGGAATTCCTACCTATGAAGAAGTTAGTGACTAAGAAAAGATCTTCGCAGAAGAAATAGGAAGGAAAGCGTGATTTGAGAGGATCAGATAAAAATAAAAAATATTTATTATTTTTTTTTATATCAAAAGGTGGCAAACGAGCGAGCGGCCACCTGAAATCGCTGAAATAGCGAAGTGACCGTTGCCCATAGACATACGCAATTGCATATGCGTTGCCTACCTTTAATCGACGGAGGAGATGATGCACAGAAAGAAAATATCTTCCCTTTCCATGCATCCTCTCATCCGGAAAGTCCACTTCCACTTCGCATCCTTTCCTTATAAGAAAAAGGGTGGGAAGGGAAAGAGGACTAAATTAGGCCTCCGGGACGCACACTCATCAGATGAAACGCGGAATTGCTTCAACTTCACGCCTGTCTTCTGTGTGGTCGTGGTATGTCACCGGGCGAGCCGGGCCATTTCGAATTATTATAATTGATTTTAAACCTACACAAAAATTATTCTGTCTATTTTCTAATTATCAATGCGCGGAAGTACCTTTTGCACATTTATATTTCTCACTAGCTTCTGCCTGCGACTCCGTCCTCGCGCAATTAACTAATACCCTATGTGTTCTTACAGACTGTGTTCTATATCTATGGCACATATCGAGATCCATCCATACATTCAAACAGTATTTATAATAGTAGTAAGAAAGAAAAACATAGTAAAAGGCGAGAAGATAAAATATATTTTATTTGAACGAATTGATTAAGAAAAAGGTGTTGTAAAATTATCTAAAACGCCATTGAACTTTGAGACAAACTTGTGTGTATAGAATTACAGGTATATTGCAAGAAAGTTAGCGATAAGGGGTCAACATCCTTTCGTAATCAATAAATATTTGCCGTGAGCATATATACTAAGATATCGTAAAACAAATGATATTCATCAATCGATAAAGTTCTAAATATATAAATTCTACGTTTATAAATATAGTAGCTGTCGCCCGCGATTCCGTCTACGCAATAAAGAAAAAGATCTGAATTAGTAGCTTACGTGTTCTTCCAGACTATATTCTACATATATGCCAAATTTCAGCGAGATTTATGCAGCCGTTCTGGAGATACCTTCTAACAAACATCCATCCATCCATCCAAACATTCGTATTTATAATATTAATAATTATTAAAGAAGCAAGATTTTATGAATATTTCGAAGAAGAAAAACGTTATCACAAAGGAACCTTGTACCTTTTTGAACTAAGACTTACTAATTAACCTAAACAGACTTAGGTTAAAATGCTAAAGTAGAAGATAAATAAACTATTCTTCTTCCTATTCATCTCCTTTGCCATCAAATCTACATCCATCCTTTCCTCATTAAAATGTGGGAAGGGAATAAATTTGGCTTTCAATACCTCGTCTGCTTGCATATTATTGTTGGTACTTCGACCAGACCCATTTGTAAACTGATTTTGATATTACGGGCTTGACTACAGTTAAATACTCATGGAAAGATGAAACGGCATTCAACTAAGCGGAAATCAACCTTTTAATTAACAACCTATTATTAGAATAGTAGCTAATATTTAATAAAATACGATTACAAGATAGACAAAACGTTTTGCAATATAATTGCAAAAGATTGTAGCATGCAATAGCACTCGGCCGTGTCTTGTTATTAAAGCTATGGCCAATTAACTATAGAGCAAAGGGCGGTACCGACACTACTTCGCCACGTGGTCCTAAACGTTTTTGCTACTAATAAGAGCTTATTATTTTAAATATTATAATTACAGTAATAACAACTTATAATTATTAATTTATTGCGGTTTGCCTTCAAATGAGCGATCTATTATACAAAAGATTTGTAAGGCAAACAAAAAACAGTGAAAAATCCGAAAATTAACAGATTTTTTTGTCATCTTTGAAGATTTACTAATTTGCATTTAATTCAACTTACGACTGATAATTACGTACAATTAGGGTTAATCTAAAACAGTGATACACGTATTTCGAGGTTAAACCATAGATAAACTAGTGAGCACAGATAAAATAAAAACCGCCTTGACAGTTCCGCCAAGGATGTTAGGCTCTATGTCATTCTTGTTATGAATAATTTATTTCTCATAGTTTATTCCGTACATAGAAGTTAACTGGTAGTTATATTCATATCTTCCTGGCAAATATTCTTACCGTGGGTTTCTGAGACCGAAATCCCCGTTTAAAACATATTGTTATCTCTATTTTGTCAAAGTCAATGACAGGGATGACGCTATGTTTTATATAGATATTTTGGTCTCAAAAATCAAAGGTTATTTTTGTGAAAATTTATTTATAAAGTTTTTTTTCCTACAGACTTCACTCAGACAACTTCAGATATATTCAGATTTGGATTGGTATGTTGTATACGTGTTTGTACGTAAATATAGCGTTATATAAACACTACACACATGCTAAGAAAGAATCGTTGAGAGGTCTTTTATATGAGTGTGTCAAAATAGCAAAATACTTTGTAATAGTCACTAGTGGATGGGCTGCAATAATATTATAAAAATAACTGTACTACGCAAAACATAGCACATTAGGAAACATAGTCTTAAAGTTACCATCCATAAGAATCGTACAAACTTAGCTCGGCATTGCTGTGTGAGCGAGACAAACGTATGGGAAATACATAAATGAACAGTAAACTGACATATCTATGGTATGATCTTTCCTCGTATCGTCTATGGCTGGGGGATTTCAACTTCACGGCTACACCGACATTTTAAAACGTTCTTGAACAAACACAAATGTATAATACGACTTATTAGTACAACATTCTGTTCAAAAACATTTAAAGAATTAAGTTTCAACTATACAAATAAGTTTTCTGTTTTTTTTATTCAATTTAAAAATACAAAAATAAAAATGTTACTTTAATATTATACGTTGATAAAAAAAAACCTTCCATCGAAGCGAAGCGACGTTAATATTTAAGATCTTTAAAAGAATACAAAAAAAAAAACAATATAAATGATAATAACCTGTATATAATACGTGGTAAAGGTGGGTTTCCACTGCGGAAACGCTTACAAAAACATATTTCTATAGATGACAAGGTTTTTTACAGTAGAATGATACATTTAAAATAGAAATTTTAATTACCAAATAAATAAAAACATACATAATCTATGTTTTTATCTTTGGCTGTTATCGGCTTAGCGACAGTTGATAAATGGATTAAAAATAAAATAATATCATTGTATAGACTTAAGTCCCTTTAAACTAAAGACTAAATAAAGCGTTAATCCGAAAATTAAAATAACTAAAATATTTTTTTATTTTAATTAGAATCGATTTTAATTCATCATTTTAACATTCTCGAAGTATCTCCGTTATTAAAGAAAAAAATAAAATACTAAAGGATTTTCAAAATTGATTCTTATAAATTTAATAATCTGATAAACGTAAATTAATTTTTACAAACTCTTCATGACAAACCTATGACCCATAGATTGAAGTAGCTACTCGTATGCTACTGAACTATAAGTCAAATAATCGCATTTAAAATTCCTATAGTCTAAATAAACTATACGAGTAAACTTCATTAGTATGCACTAATACTTTAATTAACATAAGTTTTATCGAAAAGAAACAACACAATCATTCCGATGGAACTAGTATTCAGGTCAATAAATATCACATTTTACTACGAAATAATTAAGACATCGTTAAGATTCTTTAACGAGATTAGTAACTATAAAGGAAATAAAGTTAAACAACTAATTAGGCTGTTTACGATCAAATGGAGTAGGTACAAATACGCTAAGATTAAAGATGATAATATTTCTTAATACTTACTGCTTTTTCTTCCTTCATGCACCCTGTATGTAAGGTCTGTGAACGCCAAGTCCACTGGTGGTCGTTTCGGCAAGTGTGTGAGGGTCTTATGTTGCGCTGGGGTAATAGTCACCTTGAGACTCCCCTTCCTGTCGGAGAGAATTGGTTTAGTATCCACTGGCCCCGCAAGGCTGCTATCTTTGTCCACTTTCATGATTGTATCAACACAATGGGCGACAAACTAAACGAGCATGCCCCTACGTCACAAAGGAGTTTATGATTGCGGCGCGAAACACGACCGATTCAACGCACATTCGCGCACCGACTGACCGACATGCGCACGAAGTGGTGCGCGCGCGCAGCTCGCGTTCGGTATAACCTGAAGTAGTGAGGAAGCGACTCGTTGTCAAGTTGTTGTTGAACTTTGCGCCGGCCCTGTCATTTGTTCAAGTAAAACAACTGGCAACCATGTTTTTGAACTCCAATATATATTTTTTGCTCTTTAGCGAAAGAAGATAGGAGTATATAACAATATATAATTATTTCCGGATCTCTTTTGAAGCCAGAAACAGTTCAGTATGAGAAAAAGCCAAATAACATTAGAATTGACAAACCGAGTCCAAATTATATTAAATCTTTAGAGAAAAAAATCAGTATAAACCAAAGTTGTTATTATTAATTTCTAAAAGAGATTTCTACCAAATAATTCAACTGAAATAAGTTAATCGTAAAACATACATTTTTCTAAATGTTTAATGAAAGATGTGGTTTTTATAACATGTCTTAACATTTTGAAAATAGCATTGGAAGAATTCCACTCATGTAACCATTAATACCGTCAAAACCTGTTTAACAACATCAAAGAAACTGGTGATATTCAGTTGTACTTACCAATAAACTTTATAATTAACAGGTAAACTATATAACTAATACTAGTGATCACCACTGACACTGTCCATGCCGAATTAAAAATAAAACATAATTAGCAGCCTTTGTGAACTTCCAGACTATGTTCGATATGTATAACATTCAGCCATTTTAGAGATACGTTCAAACAAACATCCATCTAAATATTGACATTTATAATATTAGTAAGATAGTAAGATTATATTAAATTTATAATTTATAATCAATCATAACAAAATAAAACTCACTCGTAATGCATTCTATTACACACCTGGAAGAATACCAATCAAATGACATTTCACTCATCAAAATCAGTTAAGCAGTTTAGGCAAGAAATTACATACATTCAAACCATCTATTAAAACATACATAAAACATACATCACCCACAATAACACTACCCTTCATCAGTTGGGTAATAAATGACGGAATAGTTGTTCCTAATTATAATAACATTACATTGTAACTCATACTAAGAAGTGGGGAGTACTGTAACACTTTCTAATTCGCATACAGACTTCTAGAACAAAAAATAAATAAAACACATCAAAATGGATGATATATAACGATGGAAAATATCTGGTACATGCAAGTAAATGGCCAGGGAACCAGAAAGCGATAAGGGAATTATTTATCTTAAAAAGAGGTCAAGCGAGATGTTTGCTATGAACTACGTACTTATTTAAATGAAAACGTTTTACCTTAAATTGTTTAAAATATACACGTTGTCCATGGCAAATGCTGTAGAACCATAAGTGAAACAAGAATGTCAATCTAAATCAATATTAGAAAGAAATTTTAAAACTTATTGTAAAAAGAAACAATGTTTATGTACAATCAATTAGTATTTGTGTGTCAAAATGTCAAATAGTGGGGCCAAAGAGCAAATTGGCAAAAACGGACAACTTTGCTTTGTGGTTTAGGCGACGCATAGACAAACACAGGAATTTTCAGTTTAATTTTCTGTTTTTTCTTTGTCTTTACCAGTTTTGCAACAAACATGTTCATTTTATTCTAAATAAATTATACAAACACATTGTAATGTTACATAAACAGACAGAAACTCAAACTTCTTTCAGCTACATTTTCCCTTTGGTTAGTTTGTGTTGCCTAATCTTTGAATTGTCAAATTTACGTCAATCGTTGAAGTTTGTTTAATCAATGTCGTTATAGTTGTCAATTCTCAATCAATCAAAAGCAAAAGTACAACACCGTATTACGTATTTACGTAAAAATGTTTTAATTTCAATCCGTAATGATTTGGAGTCGAAGTCCATTATCGCATTATCACTTGGTATAATGAAGCAATAGATAACGGGCAGTTATAAAATGGAGAGCGTTACAGTAATCAAACTTCTTTAGCCGTGTCTTTGTTTGTCGTGTACATTTTAATTTTACAGCTGTTACAACACAATGTTTTCAATGTTTCAGAATTTTTCTGTATCGCTTATAAAAGGTTTCATAGACAGCTTACGTGGAGTGACTGTGCTTTTATACCTTGACAAAGAAATAAATGAGCGAGCCTTGAGCAGATCACCACAAATAGACTCCGAAAACAACAAAAACAAACTAAAGCAAACAAAAATTAAACAGTAAGTTGATTCCCCTTAACAAACATAAAGAAAGTAGTAAAAAGCATTTGACAGTTTTCAATAGTTAAGTTATTATGTTCAATTTCTTATTTACATAAATACCATATTTAGCTTATCTTTATCATAGTTGTACAATACTATGAATGATTTCTTAATTTTTACCAGTTAACTAGCTGCCTACATGTATAGTTTCGTAACATTTTCTAGAAACAAAAAGTGATCGCTTTAGTATTCAAAATTGTGATAAAAAGCTAAGTATAAAGTAGTAATACTGATTAAGGTCACAGTGTGTTATCGAGTTTACATTTACATATTTAAACAAAGCAAATTTTAGTAATGTATTCAGTCTAGTTATATCTATGTGAGTTCTATAAATGTATTTGAAAAAATGTACATTCTGTATTTTTAATGTTATACAGAATGTTTCTTTTTATCTAATCTAGTAGGCTTCAAGTTTCAGTTTGGACATATTATATGAGCTGTATAAAAAATAGTGTTAAACTCATAATTTCAAAGAATGAGAAGGAGAAGTGGACTTAACAGAGGATACAAGAAGCAGAAATATAGTATTTCTGTGAGCTTCCTCCTCCATCAATAAAAATTAAGCAATGAATCTGCAATTGCACATGTCTATAGGCAGTGGTTGTTTCGCTACTTTGAAACTAAGCTGGCCGCTTGCTTTTTTGTCACCTCATAATATAAAAAAAAAATGCAATATGGACATGATAAAAGACAAATTTATTTTTTCTTTCAGGGAATCCAAAGTACTTACAAGGGTATTACAATCATGTATTCTCAATGGATTTATATTTTTACTGAGTATACTTGTGTTTGAATATGCCTTATTACCCGCGGTGAGGTACTTAGTGTTGGCTGTATTCGGCCATGATCCCGGAGTAGCGCACAACGTCTGGGGCTGGATGCAGCCCTTCCTTTCCATGACGTTTAGAATGATATGGGTGCTACCGTTGTTTCTTCTAAGCAAGCTAGTGAATGCCCTTTGGTTTCAAGTAAGTTTGGTTACAAGTAGTTTTTTTTTTACGTTTTATATGCTAGCGCTTGATCACGGTCTCACCTGGTGAAGTGGAGATTTGGTCGAAAGATGGTACATGTAGTAGTTGTGTTTATGTTGTATGTTTTTATTGTATGTTAGTAATATACTAATGTATACTATTATACAATTGTAATTTACAGTAAATTCACTAATAACTCATATATTACACACAACATCATTTTATTCCAAAATCTTAAAATAAGCCATCTATATTGAATATATTCTATGTCTATGTGGCTTAACTGTATGAAACTTTTATTAAATCAATGAACTGTGCAGTATTAATACAAACATTACATAATTAATGGTATGAAGTATACAACATGAATTTAAAAATTGTATTAAGTAAGAGCGTCGGTGGCTCAATGGTTACTTGAATTGCAATCTGCAGGTCCTGGGTTCGAATCCCGCCATGTGTTTTTCGATTTCCGATTTACATATGTACATTTATCCGACGTTCTTACCGTGAAGGAAAAAATCGTGATGCAACCTGCACATATCTGAGAAGAAATTCAAAGATATGTGTGAAGTCAACCAACCCGCACTTGGCCAGCATGGTTGACTATGGCCTAATCACCCTTAACTTAGGGTAGACTCCGAGCCCCTCGATGGGGACGTATAGTGAGCTGATAATGATTAAGTTAAAATTTAAAAAAAATGGAAAAATCGTGTGACCTGCTTTAATGCATATTACACAATAATTTTGGAGTTGAACAGCTCACAGTAGCCAAATACTTACGTGATTCTTATCCAATACTGAAACGCACACTATTCAAACCATTTTGGCACTGAATTTGTTAATTTATGATTTCAATTGCCTATAGGACATAGCAGATTCAGCATACAGACACCGGAGGGGGAGACCGCAGTTCATGTCCAGTGTCAGTAAGATTATAGCTGACTCACTGTTCAGTCTGCTCGTACAAGCTCTGTTTCTAGTTCAGGTATATAACATAATTATTTCTTATTACTAAATCCTACAAAAATGAGTATTTTATTATCTGAGCAGGTAACTAAGAAATTGATACAATGCAATACAGTTTATTAGTAATATTTAAATTACAGGCCATGAGTATGACTTACAAAAAAAAAAAAATTTAATAAAAAATTCTTCATACTAATATAGAGATTTTAATCTATTTTTAAATGATGCGTGGTTGTGTGCCGCTGTGACGTGGTCAGGCAGGATAAATATTTAATTAAAAAAAAAACTTTTTTTACTTTAAAAAATTATGAGTTATAGGTTTCTCAGCTGCTAAAGATTCGTTTAATTAATTTAAGTTTACATCTGAAATAATTCCCGTTAAGATTACGTATATTTGTTAGAGTACACGCAAATATAATTTATTTTAATAGTTGTTTTAAGACATATCTTGTCAAGTATTGTTATAATTTTTTTTTTTTATTTTTTTTATTTCAGAGTATGCTAGTCAGTATGTTACCGATAACATATATCGGTGAGCTTCTCTGCTTAGTGCATATGTGTTTACTCTACTCTTTATATTCATTTGAATACAAATGGTTCAACATGGGCTGGGAGTTGCACAAACGTTTGACTTTCATTGAAACCAATTGGCCGTACTTCCTAGGATTTGGTTTGCCGTTAGCAATTCTCACGCAGATCCCACACTCGTATATTATTAGGTAAGTGTATAGTTTGTAGATTTTTTAAACTTTTAGACTTCATAAAAAAAAATCTCTAAAAAAATGTACTGAAAAGTAACAAAATAATGTCATGAACTCCCTAGAAAATAAGGAATTACTCTTGTTTCAATGTGGGCATGTCAATGTAGGCATAATGTCTTACGGCTATTTACGTTTCTGTTAGTACCTTGGCCGAAATTGACTCCAATATAACATATATAACCTCCTTTTTGAAGTTGACTAAAAAAAAGTTCACCTCATTAAATTACTAGGAATGTCAAATTCAATCAGTGAATGTGGCCTAACGATATTTCATTTTTTTAGTTATTTTCTGTAAATTGTATGACAAAAAGAAATAGTTTTATAAATAAAGGAAGGTAATATAACATAGTTATGTGAAAAGGAAGGTTATATCTAACATTATATTTATCTATGGTTATCTTATTTCTATGGTTCAAAGTTTAAATTGAAAAAAAGCTAAGCATAATTCTATACTAAATAAAAAATATATGTATTTCTTACTTCTTACTAATATTACGAATACAAATGTTTAGATGGATGGATGTTTGTTAGAAGGTATCTCCTAAACGGCAGCATGGATCTCTCTAAAATTTATAGATGTAGAACATAGTCTGTAAGAACATATTGGCTACTAAATCAGTTTTTTTTTTAATTCCATGCGGACGGAGTCGCGGGCGACAGCTAGTATTTATGTGCTACATTAACCATGACACAAATATAACTTAAATATTTACATACTCCACATTGTGTAATATAACATGAATCAATGGCCAAGGTTGTTTGTCTACAGTTTGATAAATGCTTAGTACTTTGCTCTATCTTATCTATACCATATTAGTTAGAAAATATTCAAAACATAACTTTATCGTTCAATATTATTTACTAGCTGTCGCCCGCGTCTCAATCCGCATGGAGTTAAAAAAAAGGTTGCTAAGTAGCATATGAGTTCTTCCAGACTATGCTCTACATCTATGCCAAATTTCAGCAAGATCCGTCGAGCCATGCCGGAGATACCTTCAAACAAATATACATCCATCTAAACATTCGTATTCGAAATACTGGAGAGCTTAACTCTAAAAGAGTTCTCTTACCGACCGTACCATAGAGAGAGAATGTTTGTAGAGAATTTATGCAAATATCTATTATAGATTATTTAGGCTAGTAATTAATAAGATAATTAAATATGGCTTTCTTTTTCCAGTGGTTGTGTTTTCTCCATATTCTTTCCTGTGTTCATTTTGAGCGGTAACGAAGCTACACCCGTCATAGGAAGGTAAGTCAATTTCATATTACTTTTTATTGATTTTTTTTCTTCTAAAAGGCTCTTAAAACAATTTGTTAATTCTTTTGTCTGTAAAATTAGAATAAAATTGATAACCAACTCAAAAGATTATATTTGATAAAAGATAACTGATTCAAGTAAACTTACGTTAATTGTAAAGTCGAACCCGGATAAGCGAGAACCCTCTAAGCGAGTCATTATCTGCCCTTTGTAGGCGAGAAAAATATCGCGGTCTCGCTTCTTATGGTTGAAAGTGATTTTTTATGTAAAACCCTTTTTTTATGTATAATTACAAAAAAACTTCGTTTTCAGTGAATATCCTCTGAGACTGTTCTCTCCAGTCGTCGCGATATCCAATGGTATGTTCCGCTTTGTGAGGAACACTGCGGAAGTAGAACGGACTGTGGTCGATAGAAACAGCTGATACAGTGGCAGTTTTAATGCAGGGAGGAAAGGGGACATCCACTGATCTCTATATATGGATAGGCGATTACTTAGAAATTACAATTTTTTTTTTGTTCCAGTTTAAACGCGTCTCATGATGTTACGTGATAATAACTTCTACCTATATTATTAGTTCTAATCCACACCACAGCTACAAACCGCTACCATCAGCGCCAAAATGGCGGAAATCAAATAGGCAAAAAATAATACGTCGTAAAGCCAGTCCATATATAGAGGTCAGTGGGGACATCACAGACAACAATTAGTAACCGTGGTTACTATCGGTAGCTTTGTAACAATCAATAAAATAAACATTTCTCAGTATGTATTTTGTATAAAACTGTACAGTAGTGTATGAATTGGGAAGATAAACTGAAAGCTCTAAGTAGGTGCTAGTAAGAGTGGACTGTCATCATCATCTGTCAAACTTTGTATACGTCATTCTACTAATTTAAAAAAATATATTCCTTTTTCATTACAATATTTGTGTAGTATCCAAAAAAAATATTTTTTTTCATTCTTTGAGTGAAATTTGACAGAAGTCATTGCTATGACAGAAGTTCACAGAATATATAAAATAGTGTTTTTGTATATCTATGGTATATTCAGTGCTAGTTCACTCTTGATACTAATATCAAAAGGCAGTTTTTCTCCCCATTAAAATGATTGTGTGAAATACGATTCGTAACAAAATTATTATTGGACCATAATAGTCATGAAGCGGACAAAAATGACACTAAAATTATAAAAAAAAGTGTAAAAATTATTTCTAAAAAATCCAATTCCAAATTCCCTTACACCTTACACGATCTCTTTATAAGTTCAATTTAGATGTGTATATTTTACGGTGTCTTGTAATCACTTTTAGGGTTGTTTTAATGCAAATCTCAGCGTAGGAAAGTAAAATCGTAAATGCATGTACAAGTAGAAAGTTTTCATGTTATTTTATATTAATATCGCAATAAATAGTACAGATTTTTTTATTTGGGAGATTTATGTTTAAGTGCTGATTTACAGGGATGATAAACTTTTGTGAGATATTGTCATAAACTAATATATAAACGGCTAAAACGGTTATGTATGTTCGTCCGGAGTCGGCACCGACTAGTTTCGAAGACATCGAAAGCCTTTCATCAGGTTGAATGGGACTTCGCGGACTAGGCCCGTCGGTGCCGAAACTGGACAAACATACGCGAGTGTTTTAGCCGTTTTTATATAAGGAATGATTAGTTTTAATATTATAATCAAATGGCACTAGATTACCATTATATAAAGGATTATATATCAATACGGTGCCTGGATATTGCTTAATGTATTAAATTATATAATCATCGTATATAACGTTCAAGGTAATTAAAGTTATTGCACTAAAAGTTACCAGTTTGGATCCGACTCGAAGGACCATATTTCAGTAAAAAAATTTGTTGGAGTAAAATTTTTGCTTATGTAATAATATCAATTATCTTGGACGATTACTTTTAAATTATCTTTGTAAAAAATGGGTTTCCATTGGCATCGATTCCATGGGTGGTGTAAATCTTTTTCTTGTGATTTGCGGCAGTGGAAACCTTTTTTTCTTTTTTCACCTTAGAAAAGTACGTAGAGAACGTACTTTTGCGTGTAAATGACGCGTATTCGTCTCGGTAAATTGTGATGAAATAATTTTACATGACATAATTTATTTAATAAAAAAATGACTGAACTGTATTTTAATATTTTTTTTAAAAGAAACCCTTAAACCTACTATTATTTCTTTGAATGAATAAAACAAGTTACGAGACATAATCTTTAATTGTTAATTCAAAATTTAATACATTTTTCTCCATCCTGGTCAAAATTATTGGTTAAAAAATCGAATATACTAAATAAAGCTAATAAAAACTATATTAAAACAAATTCGTGTTTCTATAAAACTAAAAATTAACGTAAATAAAAAAGCTTACAGGTAGAATATCACAATTTATGATTCAGACTAAAATGTAGACAAATTTCGCAACGAGGCAATGATAAAATAGTCCTGAATGGAGAAAACGTTAAATCATTCTTAGTTTATGTCTAGCACTTTGTCTACATGTTAGTCTGTTTAAAATAACATTAAAAAAATATTATGCTTAAAAAATAGTCAATACATATTTTATATATACATAAAAATAGATTCACAGTAAACTTACGAACAAGATTTAAAAAAAAAAATTGTCAAAAATAACCCGTAAATAACAAGAATTGGTAACAAAGTAAATCAACGCCAGGATATGCATTTATTCGGATTCTGATTTTAGATCGAAAACATTTGTTTACAAATAGACAGTAAATATTTATTACCAATGTCTAAAAACATCTACGTAGTTAAAGGTAATAACGCACAAGTCAACTTTTCATCCGTTTGGAGGAATTCACACGTGCGCGTTAACCTCAATCCAGTAACATTTACATAATATATATGTATATTTGATCTATTACCATATCTTACTTGAGATCTACTTTTTCTCTGTGGATTTCGATTAAACTAACTTTTTTTTTGACACATGTCACCTTTTACATTGTCTTTGGAAAAAACAAAGACAACATGTGTCAATTCAAATGTCATTTTCGAAAACCACAGTAACATTCTAATGTCAAAACCGAAATCGACGTTTAAAATATATTGCTATCTCTGTTTTTTCAAAGATAATGAGAGGGATGACAATATATTTTATACGAAGATTTTGATCTCAAAAGCCAACAGTAAATGATTTTGAACATTTCAATTATTAATACCTAACCAACTTATAATTATTCAATTTTAATTTACATAAATAAAAGTATTTTTATTGGCAAGTAAAAAAAATGTCTGACATAATATTGGAATGTTTTATATTGAGAATGAAAAATGAAATTACTACAAAAA